AGAGTAGCTAAGTCATTAGAAAAGCATTATTACCATAACCAAAGACAAAAAATAAATAAATAAACAAATCATATTGCTGCTGACCTTGCATTTAACTGTAGCTGAAAGCATAGGGTCATCCATATGTTCCCATTGCCCTATATTCCCAGGGCTCAGTGTTTTTAAAATCAATGTTCCCAATGTCCTATGATCCCAGGGCCCTATGTTCCCAAGATCCTACATTCCCAAGGCCCTAAGTTCCCAAGGCCCTATATTCCCAGGGCCCTATGTTGCCATTGCCCTATGTTCCCAGGAACCTGTGTTCCCAGGGCCCTTTGTTCCCAAGATCCTGTGGTTCCATGATCCTATTTTACCAGGGCCCATTTTTCCCAAGATCCTATGATCCCAGGATCCTATATTTCCAGGGCCTTATGTTCCCAAGATCCTATGTTCCCAGGGCCCTAAGTTCCCAAGACCCTATATTCCCAGGGCCCTATGTTGCCATTGCTCTATGCTTCCAGGAACCTATGTTCCCAGGGCCCTTTTTTCCCAAGATCCTATGATCCCAAGATCCTATATTTCCAGGGCCCTATGCTCCCAAGATCCTATGTTCCCAGGGCGCCATGTTCCCAGGAACATAGAAGATTGGCATATAATATAGGAGATTGACATCATAGGACTCTGGGAACACAGCACATTGGGAACAAAGGATCCTAGAAATATAGGGCATATAGGGCAACATAGGACATTGAAAACATAGGGCATTGGGAACATTGACATTAAAAACACTGGGCCCAGCGAACATAGGTACACTCCCATATTATTATTAATATTGTGTGGGATTATCATGCTGCCATTTAGCTAGTCATGTGCAACCTCCAGAGAGACTAAAGTTTAAATGATGGTTCAGTCAAAAATCTAATATATATCATTTTCCCTTTGACCCAAATGAAGTCAATCAGCCAAGATGTTTTCTCTCTGAATCACACAAGCATGTCTATATGAGATTACTTAAAGATGTCAGAGGTTTTTTCAAAAGTTCTGTATAATTCAGTCACTGAGACAGAGTCATTCAGAGAGGTTTGGTGTGGAATGGTTACTTTACCGACTCTGATTTCACTACAGTGGTGGTGAGAGGAACCAGACGTCACAAATATGGCTGTTTAATTCACTATCCAAAACCACCAGTGAATCTACATGTGTCTTCTGATTTTCCCATGTGATGTTGATGATGGTAGAACAGTAGAATCTCTGAAAATGAAGTTTTCTTTGAGGGTGATTTTGCCTCACAACACCCTGCACTGTCTACTATGAATAGATTTTGGATGGCCCAGAACCTTATCACATATCTATCGGAAACCAGTGTGTTTCTCTGTGTGTTTACACTGTTTCCAGACCAGCTTTCTAATATTAAAAACTGATTTTATTATTCATAATAAACACTTAAAGATGAAGTTTTTCACAGATAAGAACCAGATGTTCCCCTGAAAACGCTGCCTGATGTCGGACATGTTGTTGGTCTAAAATATATTTTAAGTCCATTCGTAGAGAATCTCGGGAACAATCAACTTATTGAAATAAATAAAAAATAATATTATTATAATGATCAAAATGTACACAGAGCAGCGGAAACTACGGCATGACAGCAGGGACTAAACGCAAAGCTGAACATTAGGAGGCATCATTATCTCCACTCTCATCTACTGGATATTCAGGGAACAGCAGCCGTTCTGATAAACTAACAGTGTTCCACATTCTGAGCTGATCAGAATGAAGCTGACTTTGACTCTGATTATTGATGGAGTGTAACAAAGCCAGTCACAACGCTCCTCCATCATGTTGTGTGTTTTGTTGTCCGTTATGGAGCTTCTCTTAGCTGCGATTGGCAGGAGAACCAGATGTGGAAAGTGGTTCCCCTAAAAACTCCACATCCGGATAAATATATAGACCATTCCTCAGTCTGTATCACACCAACAACAGATCCAGTTATAATATGTTTCTGGTGGCCGATAAAGCAATAATTATTATGAACGTCATTCTTAATCAGAAGGAAACCTGTCATTTATTCATTTATTTGTTTGCTTGCTTGTTTGTTTGTTTATTTAGACATGGTAAAGCAACTCAATACTGAGATAAACGCGGCATCATTGAGATTTCGTGACATACATTATTTTAATTCCACTAAACAGTAATCAATCGTACTGATCAATACTTTCTGTACTGTTCTTTGCCGATTGGATGAACACAAGCGGCCCTACAAACATTTTTGAACCTATTCGCTCTCCGTAGTTCAGCGTTGGTTGGCGCGCGTGCCCAGTTCAGAAGGAGCTAAATCGCATCAAAGGAGCTAAAGTGAAAGTGAAAGTTGAGCAGCGTCTGTTCAGTGACGAGATCATGAACAGAGAGAGAAAAGCTCAGAGGTAATTACTGAAGATCAACACTCACAGTTTACAGTTAGAACAATGAGAACTCACTAATCTGAGAGAAACAGCTGCTGTGTTCTGTTTTATGTTTTGCTGTAAGTGTCTGTTTGATCAAGTAAGCTAACTGAAGCTGAGCTAAGCTAAGCTAATGCTCAGATAGCCTAGCCAATGAACCCAGTGACATGTGGGAGCCTTTAGAGCATTAGAGCTTATTTCCGTGAGGAGAATGTTTAACTTATGTACAATACCACATTTTGGTAATACATAGTTCGGTATGCGAGCCTTCTTAAAGACTTTTATTCTGGGGGAAGAGACGCTTCATGCTGTACTCGAGCTGTGGACTTGAGCTAACATTAATGTTACTGTTCTTTTTGTTTGTGTTTGTCTGTTTTGTGTTTGTATTATTAATTTGTTTATTAATTTATTACCACTTTTATATTATTGGTATTTTTGTATTTATGTGTGCACGTGTCTCACTTAGTCTGTATGTATAGTATGTAGGACATGACCACTATTGTTCTATGAGCTAAATGACCATGAACAGTCTCATTGGTCCTCCATGGGGGGGGGGGTTAGTGCTCAGTGTCAGTCCCACAAAAATGCAAAAACATCTGAAATGGGAAAGAGCGGTTGTGTGATTGTACAAATAGATTCAGTAAGAATTCGGAGCTCTCTTTATACAGACTGCCGAAAGCTAAAGAAAAGAGTTTTCCACATAAAATTATATGACATACAAATATTTGTACAAACCTGCCCACTTACAGCCAGAATATCCGCTGGTGTTCTTAAGAGATTTTACATTAATAAACTCTTAAATTACAACAATTACAAACAATTTAAACTCCACATTGTATATTATCTATGTTTTCTGCACATATGACTGTATCATTTTCTCCATTGTTATGTTTCAGTCTGATTTAAAGAGAGAGACCAGACTCACCTGATCTCAGCTACGATTTCATGAAGAGCCAGTGATCCAGCCAGAGAGGAGGACGGTTTTACTGAGGTAAAGAGTGTTTAAAGTGTGAATGGTGTAGTGAAGTGTTCCTCACTTCCAGCCTCACCTGATTAACCTCAGCAGGTGGAGCAGAGTAAACTGTGCAGTGCTTGTGGTTCTACAGAACATGGAGAGAGGAGCTTCAGTTCCACACCTGGAACTCCTTTCATCTAGATATCATCAAACTTCATTAATAGAGTTGCAGCAGCATTAGATTTTCACAGTATGATAAGCGTATCAGAAAACGTCCTGGTGTCACAGTGTACGGTACTTCTGGTAGACAGAATGAAACCCCACTCCATCTGGATATATGGATTTCACAGCGCATGAAGCTACGGATGTGCTTTCAACCAAGTGCTGGACATGGATTTTCTGAACGATAAAGTTTCAGCATTACAGCAGGCGAGACTCTCTGTTCGGCTGCATTTCTTTTAAAAACCAGTAATAGGCAAATGTACGTGGTATGATAATCAATTTACATACCATAGTGTCAAATGTGTTCTGAGTTGGAAAGTGGGTTAATTAGAGCAGGTTTGTGTGCCTACTATTAAGGGAATTATGATTTAATTCTACTACAAAGTACTTTTACAGGGAAAAACATACTCAAGTACTGTAGTAAGAGTGAATGTAATTCGTTACTTTCCACTTCTGTCTGCCTGCTAACTGCTCAGTCGTGAGGTGCCGGTTTTAAAAAGGCAGTGAAACAATAGAATTGTCAACAAATTCGAGACAAATCAAATCATGTTCATTGTCACATCACACTTACACAGGTGTCAAGGTGAGTGAAAATCTTGTGTAGCCCTCTTGTAGTACTTAAATATAAAAAAAGAAAAATTATATATATATATATATACACATATTAGACTCTAAATGTATACACATGTCCATGATATACACATTTGTATGCAGTACAAAATATTGCACAGCACTGCACTATTCCAATGTACAGTTTTGTACAGTAATATAAGTTGTGAAATACAAGCTATAATATGTTACATACATTTCCATGTATGCAATTTGTGAGTCTGAGGTAGATGCAGGGTACATAGAGAATAGAATAATTACACACATATATATATATATATATATATATATATATATATATATATCGATAGATGTATATATATATATATATATCGATAGATGTATATATATATATATATATATCGATAGATGTGTGGATAGAAGATGTGCAGGTATAGATTTGCTCAAAGTTAATGTAAGATTGTAGTGAGATGTCTTTTATAATGTTTTGGTGTTTACATTTGGCTGTTCCATTGAAGTTTTTCTTATATCCGATCTCAAAATTCATATTCAAAGTGATCAGTTCTGTGTGATGGACAGTATGAGCTCTATACAGCATTCACTGATAGCAGATTAGTATCATATAATGACTGGTTATAGTTAATAAAGAGTGGTGCAGCAGAATATGCGATGGTGCCAGTAGATTCCTGTATCTGCTTTCACTACCTTTGTAGTAGAATTGGATTATTTTTAATAAGAAAAAAACATCCATTGCCCAAAGCAAATGTTATCTAGCATCATATAACATTATAGTTTAATATGTTCTAGTTATTATAGATATTTATTAACCAGATATTATTTCATGCTTCATTAATGAACTGTTCACAGAGAGCAGCGTCTCCAGTGTCTGTGTGTGAAGAGTAAAACCTCAGTGATGGAGTCTCATCACTCCAGCAGTGGAGAGAGACGCTCTGATTCAAAGTGAGTAACTTTATATCAGCTCTTAACCCAATTTAAGAAAAAGAAAGAGGAAATTGTGACTTATGCTCAAACTAAATGAGTCTTAGTAAAGAACATAATTACTCAGAACTTAAATCTCATTGTGGATTAACTTTTCTCAGAGTGAAGCATGCAGGATCTCCAGAGCCCAGCTGTGTGTCTGTGAAGAGGTTCCGGTCAATTGAGAGCCCTTCTGAATTCAGCAGAGGACGAGAACCCAGTTGTGTGTCGATGAAGAGTGACCAGTGCATAGAGAAACCTCCTGTATTCAGCAGTGGAGGAGAAGGAGAACCCAGCTGTATGTCTATGAAAAGTGGCCAGTCCATGGGGCAACCTCCTTTATTCAGCAGTGGAGGAGGAGAACCCAGTTGTGTGTCTATGAAGAGTGACCAGTCCATGTTGGAGCCAGCACAGTCCAGTGGAGGGAGAGGAACCTCTGACTCATGGTAAATAATTGCTACCAGTAACAGTTGTGACAGTTGTGATAATGAAGCATTTCAAACATATTTCTGAGTTCTGGGCTACATGTTGTAGATCAGTTTGTAAAGACTTGAGTTCTTCGCATATTTAATATTAGCAGGACAGAAACCCAAAAAATGTTTCTCCAGTGTCCAGATGTGTGTAAGAAGAGTGATGGTCCATGCCTGAACATTCAGTCCTGTGACCCACAAAGAGTTAAACATTCAGGACTCTTAAATGTGTCACATACCGGATGCCAGCTTGAGTAGCATTGCATAGCGCCACATAGATGAGCGCTGCTGTAGAATGCTGGCAAGGATAACCCAAAAACACATTCTACTCATATAAACTGAATTAACGAAAGGATTCAGCATCACTGATCCCTCTGAAAAATACAAGCTGAAAAAGGCTAGGCTAGTAGCGTTAGCTGATGCAACTTAACATTAGCATCTGTCTGTTCATCTAAAAGACTGGCTGCATTTCTGTGTAAATTTCAAAATACATGTGATCAACTGTGGCTTTCTGTGCTCTCGATATGGCTTTAATTTAATGTATTAATGGCAAAATGCTGTGTGGCGCACTGTAATGCGCTTAGAAATTGAACAGTGCTTAGTGACAATAGTCACATAGTGCTGCCTTGCATTATCGCTGGTGTGCGCGCAACCATTAAAACCATTAAAAAATAGTTTTAAAATTTTGGACGCTGTGCAATGTGACAGGTCTGCTGTGTGAAAGCCTCTATTTACCTTTTCATTTTATATACCATATATATACTTGGGTCAGCTATAACATTAAAACTATCTCCTTTTATCTACAGCTCAACTGACCGTATAGGAGCACTTTGTAGTTCTACCATTACAGACTGTGGTCCATCTGTTTCTCTGCATACTTTTTTGGCTCCCTTTCACTATGTTCTTTAATGGTCAGGACCCCCATGGACCCTCACAGAGCAGGTATTATTTGGGTGGTGGGTCATTCTCAGCTCTGCAATGACACTGATGCAGTGGTGGTGTGTTATTGTGTGTTACGCTGGTACGAGTTGATCAGACACAGCAGTGCTGCTGGAGTTTTTGGAAGACAGATACGTTTTGGCAAGTGGACTTCCAAAAATGTATCTTTCTTGCACTTATCAAAAATAGCTCATTATACAGTTTCAAATTTCAAAGAAACATTTAAAGTTTTGGCCAATTTGATACAGTATATTGATAATAGTCGTATTTGTCATATCCATATTCACAGCTTGCTGCATACGAAGTAAGAGTTGGAATTATAGAGCTAAAAGAAAATAAAGAGTAGGTTTATAAAATATATGGCACATTTTAATGTTTTGACAGGTTCTGCTAAAGGAAATAAGGTGAGGCAAGGGGGCCCATGCATTTTTCAGAAGGCCCAAACTTCCTTATCTTTGCCCTTTGCACATACTATTGCTATTATTATAAACATATGTTTATTGCAAAGGCAGTTAAGTTCAGATTGCTCCACCATGGAACTGTCACTGTTCACAGACACTCAGGTGGGCACTGGAGACACTGGATTTCAGTTCAGCCAATATTAAGCAGGGTATCAAGGCATCTTGGTGCTACCTGAGCTCTTACAGAACATCAGGGTTTCACAGGCAGGAGCAGAGGAGGCTGTGGTGGATCACATGCTCCGAACCTGGCTATGCTTTTTCCCCTCACACATAAACACACTGATCCTGAAGAACATCTCAATCACACATGGCTGGGTGTTCCTCACAGCTTGATTCTGATTGACCCCGTTCAGGACTTTCTTGTCTGGCAGCAGAGGGGAATAGCAGGCCACCTAGTCTTACAGAAGCTCTGTGTTCTTCATACATATTTTATTCAGACCAGGTGGTAGACACTTCAAAGCCACCAGTGGTGCTGTGTGTATGTGGTGTCATCAAACATATCTATGGCCAGAATATACTTATTTTTTTTAAATCACACAGAATTACTTTTACAAGTACAGTGAATACATTATACATCTGCATACACCAGGTTTTACGTTTTATTTACCTTTATTTTTTGAAGAGATGCAGTTGTGTGATTAGAAATTCATTTACAGTCAGTTAATTTATATCAGAAGAGTTCAAGTGTGAATGAATGGTTAACAGATTATACTAGACCAAAGAATTATTCACATATATTTCTGTCGAAATATAATAGAACAGCGTTTAAAATTCCTTAAACCAACAGTAAATGCTGTTTAGGGATCCGCTTTTGATTATTAGGCCTTGAAGAATTCAATAGGCAGCTGATTGCCTATGTCTGCAAACATCCCAAAGGGGGAGCTCTTACTAGTTTACTCTTCAATAAAATAACGAAGATGAAACACCATGCTTGACTTTCACTAGGAGTGGCAGTAGATTTTTTTTTTTTTTACTGGGGTGGCAAACCAGCTCAAATATGATCTGTAGTTTAAAAAAAACACTTATCTAAATAGTCATTAAGCTTGTTCAGGGGAGGAGCCAAAGAGTGACCAGTACTACTGAAGTATGAAAGGCTACTCATTAGTAACCATTTATCTTTGGCCCCATTAGTGACCTTTTATCGTTAGACCCGTTAGTGATCTTAGTGTTAGTGGAGGGGCCATGTTAAGAACGGCTCAAGTTTTATACTGTTATAGTGGTAGGGGAGGAGTCATGCTAATAATGCTCTAGTGCATCATTGAGCCACGATTTCAAGCCCATCCAAAAAACTCCGCAATTCAGTACTACATAGTTCACAGCTTTTCGACATGTTTTCAGTAATAATTATTTTCTAACATGTATAGTGTGTTTAGAAATAAATCTCTGAATTTATTTTACTGTTAACTTCATTGTCCGTGCTTCTTACCACTCATTTATGATTTAAGCCACTCCATCTTTCATCTTACAATTTAAAACGAAGGTTTTGAAAGAAGTATTATTTAGTAATTGGTACTGAAATATAAGTATCAGTATCGGTATCAGCAGTTTTCCTGCACCACAAGACAAAGTGCTCCACCAGCCTCCTGTACTCTGACTCACCTCCACTTTGAATAAATCCAACAATAAAGGAGACATTAGAGAACTTCTGCAGATGGCATGGGCTGGAGTGGTACTGAAAATTTGATGAGTGCTGGGTGAAGAGGACAGGAGACTGGACAGGTCCCTGGGGTGCTCCAGTGCTGCTTACCAGCAAACTGTAGCCTGTTGTTCAAGTAGTCCATGGTTGTGAGATTTGGAGCTAAAGTTTAATGGGAAATAGAACAGTTATTGAGGAAACAGTACACTATCTCTGTGGGAATTGTTTTATTCACACAAAAATGAATGTAGTCTTTAATACAGTGTTCAGTCAGTGTTCATCTGTGTTCTTCCCTTATGATGAATGTAGCAAATTCCAGTGTGTCTCCATCAGTCCAGCCTGCAGAGCCTCCTCATCCTGGTTTGTCCGTTTTCTCAGAGTCCTGGTAGTAACAGGCAGTCAAGTGAAGTGCAGGTTATCAGTTATCACGTTATCATGTATTACATTTATCACATGTAATCACATAAAACTCATATGATTACACAGGACTACTTGGGGTCACGTAATGCCCTAAATTGCTTACATGCAATTTAGGGCATTAACATTATGTGCAATGCCACATATTGCTCACATGACCACATGTGCTAAATATGTCGGTAACACTTTACATTAAGGGTAGCATATCAAGGACTAGTTATGCTGTTAGTGTTATTTACTACTCAGTATTTATATATTAACATAAAGTTAATTAAGCTTCAGTTATTATTTGGTAACTGATTATGTACTTACTAAATGAATACACTGTTAACTGATTAGTTTGTTATTAGTTCATAGCTTGAGTACTTATTAACTGTGTCCTAACTGCTGCTTATTACACTGATAATGAACAGATAAATTTGTTAAGTCATATAAATGTTACATGAGAATTAAATGATACTCATGTGTTAATGTTAATTATCTGTTCATTAATTTACTGATTTATCGTTATGTTCTTCTTCACTGTGCAGTCAACACAGTCAAGTGGAATACACTGCTTGGGCTTTACAGGACACTTCCCTTCACCTCCTCATATTCAGCTGTCACATTGTCCTCACAGCTTTCTTTACATTTCAACCATTAATTACTCCTTACTTGATTTTACTACTGTTAACTATTACTTTGTGTCCCTCCAAGTAAAGTGATGATCTTCACTACTAATAAACTAATTACTACAAACTCATGATTGAGAGTAGCTTGTACACACTTCACTGTGAATCAGAGTAGAAACTTATGAGAAACACAGGCTGCTAATTCAAAGATGTATGTAGATGGTTGTCCTTATGAGCAACAGAATTAAATATGCAAATATTGACAGTATCTGTCAATAGGGTGGGGGGAAAACATCACGATGTGGACAATTCTGAATCGATTCACAAATGTCAAAAATCGATTTTCTGTATTTTAATTTATAACGTAATGTTGACAGAACACAAAGGGTGGAACTTGGAAGTGCAGAAGTGCAGCGCCCGGACAGTCTGTGACGGCACATAACGAAAACACAACTGGATGAGCCAGACATCCAACCGGCACCCTCTGCATTAAAAGCTAGGTTAGGTCAGGAGTCACAACCCAAATGTTAAGAAGAACTATTTTGTCCTTTCAACAAAAATCAGAAAACCTTGGGAGCCACAACATTTAATGTCCCATATGTCTCAGTATTTGCTGATGTACTAGTATAGGCTAAAAAATATGAACGAAAACGCATATTTACTTTGCTCTGCTTTAAGCTTTAGCTATAGCCGCTTTCCTCCCATCTTTGGCGACTTTTCCTCAAAAGTAGAATAGTTTCTTGTAAAATGTCTCTCAATGTTCGACTGTTTTACGAGGCAGAAGTCGCTTCTTATTCACCAGCTTCTTGTTCAAATTTTCCCATTCCACCTTAAATTATGCGGGAGGTGCCAGAATGTAAATGCAGCACCATTTAAGATAGAACGGGAGAATTCGAAAGAGAGGCTGACTTCATGTTCGCCACTTTGTAGTGTTTGACAGTCTCTTGTGCAGGTTTAACATTCCAGGAAACCAACTGCAGTGCTTATAAATTTGAATAAGTCCATTCATCTCCAAATGTTGGTCTTGAATCTCTCTCTTTGCCTTTTCGTTAGCTACTAGCTAGGGGAGACTGTCTGCGTTGCTATGTGAACTGCAGTCTGCACGCCAGGGGAAAAGGGACCTGGATGAAGCCATACTATATGCAAGTTGTGTCACACTAAACTAAAATATTTTGGAAACAACATATTGATTAATCATATTGATTAATCATATTGCATATTTCCACCCGTTTTCCTACCGGTTGTACTTGCTGACAACCAGAGGACCAGATAAACTAGACTATCAGTTAACAGTGAATTCAGTTACTAATTAGTATGTATTTAATCAGTAACTACTAAATCTTAATGTGTTGACTAATATATAAATAATAATCAACATTATTAGCATATAATTATCATTAAATTAGTGACCCTTACTGTAAAGTGTTACCGATGTGTGTTTATAAAACTCTAACTATGGTCCACATGAATTTCTGCATGTAGAATATTTAGATTTTAGAGTTTAAACTATTAATGCCATATTACAGTTGTCTAGAAATATTTGTTAATATAGTAGTTTTTGACAAAGGAAATCAGGAGTGCAACACATGTAACATTAAGTTAATCTTGGGAACCTGAAGTAAACCATCTACTAAATTAAATATCTCAAATGTAGTATAGTAAATCATGCGAAGATTATTATGGTTATTTTTATTATTGATGTTTGTGTTAATGTGTTTGACCCCAATTAGGCGGCGATCCACAGAAACAGCATTGCAGATAAATGCTCCGGCAGATATTTACCAACCAGTGGATGATGTCCTTCTCAAAATCTTAGAGAGACACAAAACCAGCATGAAGAACAAGCATGAGAGTCTATTTGAGGGAATCAAAACAGAAGAGAATAAAACCCTCCTGAACAGGATTTACACACAGCTCTACATCATAGAGGGAGAGAGTGAAGGAGTGAATGAAGAACATGAGATTTTACAGATGGAGAAAACACCCAGGAAACAGGTACAAGACTTTCCAATCAACTGCTTAGATATCTTTAAACCTCCACAAGGTCCTGAAGGAGAAACACAAGAAGAGAACATTAGAGCTGCGATGGCTGACAGTCTCAGACACAAAGAAGGAAAAGAAGATAACAGACCAAAAGAGCCAGAGCTCAGAAGTGTTCTGACTAAAGGCATCGCTGGCATTGGAAAAACTGTCTCTGTGCAGAAGTTTATTCTGGACTGGGCTGAAGGAAAAGCCAATCAGGATGTCGAGTTCATGTTTGTGCTTCCGTTCCGGGAGTTGAACCTGATTAAAGATGATCAATACAGTCTTCATGGACTTCTGTGTGACTTCCATCCTGAGCTCAAAGATCTGGACCCAAAAATTTATGATCAGCTCAAAGCTGTGTTTTTATTTGATGGTCTGGATGAAAGTAGAATTCCACTGAACTTTGAACAGTGTGAGAAAGTATCTGACATCACCATGACATCATCAGTGTGTGTGTTGCTGACAAATCTCATCAAGGGAGAGCTGCTTCCATCTGCTCGAATCTGGATAACCTCACGACCAGCAGCAGCCAATCAGATCCCTCCTAAATTCATCAACCGTGTGACAGAAATTCAGGGATTCAGTGACCCACAGAAGGAGGAGTACTTCAGGAAGAGGATCAGTGATGAAGACCAAGCCAAGAGAATAATCTCACACATGAAGACAGTGAGGAGCCTCTACATCATGTGCCACATTCCAGTCTTCTGCTGGATCTCAGCCACTGTTCTTCAGCAAATCATAAAACAGCGTAATACAGAAATCCCTAAAACTCTGACTGAAATGTACTCACACTTCCTGCTCACTCAGACAAACATGAAGAATGAGAAGTATAAGGAGAAAGATGAGGGAAACCCAAAGAATCCGCTGGAATCCAACAGAACCATTCTTCTGAAACTGGCTGAACTGGCTTTCAAACAGCTGATGAAGGGCAATGTGGTGTTCTATGAAGAGGACCTGAAAGAGAGCAGCATTGATGTCACTGAGGCCTCAGTGTATTCTGGGATTTTTACTGAGATCTTTAGGGAGGAATGTGTGCTTTACCAGAGGAAGGTCTACTGTTTTGTTCATCTAAGCTTTCAGGAGTTCCTGGCTGCTGTTTATGTGTTTCTGTGCTATGAGATCAAGAACATGGAGGAACTGCAGATGTTTAAACCACTAAACAGAGAGAGATCTGAGAATGTTTCTCTGGATGAGGTGCTAGAAGGAGCAGTGACTGAAGCAGTAAAGAGTCAGAATGGTCATCTGGATCTTTTCCTCCGTTTCCTGGTGGGCATCTCGCTGGAGTCCAATCGGAGACTCCTACAGGGTCTCTTGACACCAACCCAGATCAGCTCAGAGAGGACCAGAAAGTACATCAAGAGATTAATCAAAAGAGAAGATAAACAATATCCCATCTCCACTGAGAGATCCATCAATCTTTTCCTCTGTCTGTCTGAAATGAATGACCAGTCTCTCTCCAGAGAGATTCAGGAGTTTCTAAAATCAGAGAAACACTCAGAGGGGAAGCTTTCTCCTGGACAGTGTTCAGCATTTGCCTGCATGCTTCTGACCTCAGAGGAGGTTCTGGTTGAGCTGGACCTGAAGAAATACAACACATCAGAGGAGGGTTACAGGAGACTGATCCCAGCTCTGGCTGTCTGCAGAAAAGCTCGGTGAGTCTATATCTACATTAATAAAACAGATTAATATTTGATTGTTGATGATTAGGGCTGACCACGTATCAGACAGCCAATTAAAATAAGTTCTATTTAATTATTATAGTTTTAATTATTATGAACTGCTGCATGTACATTACTTGGCCACTTTATTGGAAACCCCTACTTTAGGAGTTATGACTGAATGATATATTGTCAATATTGGTATACTATGATATTGACATTGCGATATAGCTCTACCCGACTGGGTGACCAGGGTTCTTTCTGTGTGGAGTTTGCATGTTCTCCCCATGTCTGCATGGGTTTCTTCGGGGTGCTCTGGTTTACTCCCTCAGTCCAAAGACATGCAGATAGACTGATTGGAGATGCTAAATTGGCCCTACATGTGTGAGTGAGAATGTGTGTGTCTGGGTGTTTGCTCTATGATGGACTGGCGGCCTGTCCAGGGTGTAACATCACATCATCCTTGTTCTGTATCAGTTGCACTGGTTCCGCATTTCCTTATATGCATCCACTTAAACGTTCTTCTGTTGACTTTTAAGGCCCTGAATGGTCTAGCACCCCCATTATACAAGTGGTCTCCTCTTCTATACTCCTGCTCGTACTCTGTAGCAGGCCTCTTGGTGGTCCCTGCCTTTAAATGCTCCACTTTTGGTGGATGACTTTTTTTTTATTTTTTGGCCACTAAACTATGGAACTCTCTGCTATATCTCTACAACTGCTATATCTCTCCTCCTTCAAGGTCTACCTCAAAACCTTCCTGTTTTCTCAGTATCTTCATTATTCTTCAGTCTTTTTTTCTTTGCCTACTGTGATTATGGAAAGTTCTAATTGTAAAGTGGCCTTGGATATGTGAAAGACTTTATATAAATTATTATTATTATTACTATGAATTCTGTAACTCTTTAAACCTGTTTGGATCTGAAGCTAAAGATAAATGACACTTACAAAGCAAGCGAAGACCACAAAAGATATGTAATAATAATAATGTTTATTACTTTTCATGCTGGTGGTAGCTCAAAGTGTTGTACAGACAGGTAATAACACTTAACAGTAATACAAGAAATTCTGAGTACTAATTTAAATATCATATATATATATATATAAAATATAAAAAAATATAAATACTAGGAAATGTAGAATTTTAATTAAATGGTAACTTAGAGAGACATGTTTTTAAATGTTTCTTAAAAGTGCACACTGTGCCCAACTGTCTAATGGAAGGTAGAATTGAGTTCCACAGTATAGCAGCATAATAATGGAAGGAGGCCTCTTCACTTTATCTGTATTTTACAGAAGGTGTTTGCAGAAGTCCAGTATCTGCAGATCTAAGAACACATGTTGGAACATAGACGAACAGACATTCTGTGATGTAAGCAGGTGCTAAGTCATTTAGAGCTTTAAAAACTAGTAGCAGAACTTTAAAATATATCCTGGAAAAAACAGGTAGCCAGTGCAGTGCTTTCAAAATGGGAATGATATGATCTCTCTTTTTTGTTTTTGTTAGAATGCAAGCTGCCGCATTTTGTATATGTTGTAGAAGATGTATTGTTTTCTTAGGAAGTCCAGTAAAAAAAATTACAGTAATTAATTCTGCTTGTAACAAATGCATGAACAAGTTTCTCTAGAAAAAGGCTGAACTTTAGAGATATTTCTCACATGATAAAAAGCTATGTTAGTGACTGCATTTACATGCAGGATAAAACGGAGGTCTAAGATTACACCCAGGTTTTATACTTCAGGTTTAGTGAACTTAATATGATTAAAAACATTCTAAAATGGTGTCTGAAAGGCCTACCCAGTGTTTAAGGCAGTGGATTAGAATCTTGTGGTCCACAGTTTCAAAAGCTGCACTACGAACCAGTAAGACCAGAATAGAAGGATTTTGTTTATCAGTGCTGAGCCTGAGGTCATTCACGAGGCAAACCAGTGCGGTGTCAGTACTGTGGTTAGAACAAAAACCTGGCTGAAACTTCTCATATAACTTGTTTGATATTAGTTATGCATTTGATTGTTGAAAACAACCTTTTTTAGGACTTTACTTACAAAAGGAAGGTTTGAAATTGGTCTATTTGAAATTGGGTTTTATGGATCTAATGACGTTATTGGACCAAGTTCTCCTTTCATAGCTAGCAGAAGCTTTAGACTTATGACAAAGAAAAAGGAGGAATGGTAGACATTGACATGGCATTGTCCATTTCATAAAAAGCACTTGCTTGTCTGCCGCTGTTACTACTTACCCGTCCATTGTGTATTGCCATTATGTCCAGTCAGGCCTGGTGCTGTACCTTCTCTATGTTCTCAGACAGGATGATAGACCCACAGTGGCTTGGATGTAATCCGTCCCTGTGGTAAAATGCCAGTCGCTCCCAGAAAGCACTCCAGTTGCTCACATAACCAAGACTATTGTTCTCGCACCAGCCTTGGAGCCAACAGTGAAGTGTGTAGACCCTGCAGAACACCTTGCTTCCTCTCCTGTAGGTGGGCAGAGGTCCTGAGATGATGATCCTGACCTCTGTCCTCTTTTTAATGCTGTCTAGAAGTAATCCAAAGTGGTCCTTTAGGACTTCACTCTGACAGGATGAGATGATGTTCACCTCTGCGTAAAGTGCTTGGAAATATCCAAGACCTGGGCAGCTGGAAAACAAGAGATAGCTGCATTATCTCTAGAGCCAGCTACTTTCAGATATCTCAAAATGGAATTTCTGATAATTAGAACAATGTCCTGAGTCGTTGTCCGAGGTGCTGAAGCAGGCAGAGAGCTGAGGGCTTTGAACCGGTTACTGGAGGTGATGTCCAACAGAGGAGGAATTGGCGAAGAGCTTCTATTTCCATGGCCACACTGGCGTTCCCGGCCTTGCTCCACTGCGGGCATGAAGTTGAGGAATCCTGGTGTTAGCCATGGATGTAGCACTCTATCTGAAGGGATAGAAGTCACCGCCAGATTTTTTGGACATGAAGCTGCCGTATACAAGGTGTCCCTAGGCTGCTTCCAGATGCATTTTCCACTTGTGGAGCTCGTGCTTCTCTAGGAGAGCCCTGATCTGCCAATCCAACTACTGCAGCTCTGTGCTCTGTATCTGGAGCTCGTGTTCATTTTCTCAGGGAAAAGTAAAGGTTAGTTAAAAACAAGAAAAAAATAGGAAAACTGTTATAAAGAGTTATTAGTGAATTAAGGTAAAAATGAAATATTCAGTGAAAGTTACTTGAAAGATTAAGAACAAGATTAAAAAAGCAAAATATAGCAGTGAACAAGCAAACACAAACATGCAAAATGTGAGACCTGTTTAGTCAGAAATGATGTTAGCACTTCACGTGGGCAGTCCAAAATAAAACTCGACCCAACCACTACCTAAACACTGTTTGTACTTTTCACTGCAACAAAACAGTTGAAAAACCAGAAACATTTTGGAATTAAATACTGTGTTAAGTACTGGGTTGTGTGGCAGCCAGTGGCAGAGTGAGCTGAACTAGTTTGTTCTGATTCATTCTTAGTCTCTTTCTGCATCTGTGCTTTGTTTGTTTTTTGCAGACTAAATTGCTGTTACATCACCAAGGACTGCTGTGACACACTCTGCGCAACTCTACAATCTGTAAACTCCTCTGTGAAAGAGCTGGACCTTAGTAACAATGACTTGCAGGACGCGGGAGTGGAGCTGCTCTCTGCTGGACTGAAGAGTTTACACTGTAAATTGGAGATACTGAGGTAAACTTTCTATGAATTCATTTTGTCATTAAAACATAAAGAACAAACCATAATAAATTGTTACCTTACAAAAAACAGTATTATGTATAACATTAATATTTATTTTGCATGGTTTTAGAATTCTGCTGAATTTCTTTATCTAGCTGTACCTGAAATATAAAAATGTACCATGTAATGCAATGTATCATGTGCTCTCAAAACAACATCTTGTTTTCCTCTTAATCAATTTAGAAATTTTTCTTTCAGTAATTTTGTGTGATATGTTCTAAGTTTAACTTCATCATGTGTTGGCTGGATTGTTGTGGCAGTTAACTTTCTATGCTACTAAACAGAAAAGACAACAGCTAAGTTTGCTGTTTTAAACGGAATCACATGGATGAATTATAAAGCTATGAATATCTAATGTACATATTTCTATTTCTAAAGACAAAGTAGAACATGAAGAGAAAAATAATTTGATTTGATTACACCATGTACTGCATTTACTCTAATTCTTACAGACTAACCAACTGTAGTCTTACCACAAACTCCTGTGAAAATATATCATCAGTTCTACAATCGGTAAATTCTTCTCTGAAAGAGCTAGACCTCAGTAACAATGACCTGCAGGATTCAGGAGTTGAGCTGCTCTCTACTGGACTAAAGAACTCACACTGTAAACTGGAGATACTCAGGTAAACTCTCTGATTTATTCCTGAATTGAAATAAGTTAAGATGACAAGGAACTGTAAACTGTGAATGTAAAATAACAGTTATTACGGTTTCCTGTATTTTGATTTATTTTATTCATATTTATATTTAGAATTTCCTGTGATTTTAGAATTATATTTTTTCTCTCACTCTAACCATAATAGTAATTTTAAAAAATGTAGTGTGTTATCTAAATAATATCAATCACTTTTATGTTATTCTATTCATAAATTCTTCTTTGAGTACATTGTAATTCCTACTTGCAGACTGTACAACTGTAGTCTTGGTAAGAAAGCTTGTGAAAATTTGGGATCAGCTCTACAATCAGCAAATGTCTCACTGAAAGAGCTGGACCTCAGCAACAATGACTTGCAGGATTCAGGAGTGGAGCTGTTCTCTGTTGGACTGAAGAATTCATATTGCAAACTGGAGACACTCAGGTGAGTTTTCTGTGAATTCATTCTCAAATGGAAAAAAACAAAGAATTCAATTCAATAGTGTCTCTTTATTTCCATCCCATGTTCCTTAAATATGGCATATGAATAATCCAGACCCCGTCCCAAACCAGAGAACTAGCCGTATGTCTGGAGAATATACATAAATTTCTTGTGCGCAGGTACCAGACACCTAGCCAGCCTGTAAAACAATGGACTGACACACTTTTATAGCTGGACTGATGCCAAATGACTGGTGTGACAAACATGACCATGTAAGGGAAAACAAAAATAGGCAGCCTAAATACACCTTCAGCATGTGCACACACAGTACTGGGTATAATAATGTATAACACGACACTAAACACATTAAACAATAGTTTCCTTCACATATGTTCTCTGTCATTCAATTCAGAAATTTTATTTGAATATGTTGCAAGAAACTAGATTAAAGGCCAGTAAAAACAAACACAGGGTGTTAGATTTTGTCTGTTTTCCTACTTCCACATTTAAACTCATTGAAGTTACATACAAAAAACATGTAATGTAATAGCTAGTGTTTAGCATATGCTGAGTATGTAATGTTTGCACATGAAACAACTCTTCATTTAGCTGTACAGTGACATGTTTTGGCACTGAAACTTATTAAAACCTACCTCAATTGTGGTAGGAGTAGAGCAGGAATATCTCCATGGATTGAAAATAATAAATGTCAGTCCTGAAGAACATTTGAAGAAGATGTGAAGACACCATTGGCAGCTTTGCTTTTAAGACAAAGAAGTAGATTTTCTAAGGACGTGTTTCACACACTATTTAAACCCACATTGTCATTTATTTATTTATTTATATATATTTTTAAATTTAATTTTTACAAGTTGACAATGTTCCTCAGACATCTCTTGAAAGGGAAGTCCCAGAATATTCATGGTTTTTTTTTATTTTTCATGCTTATAGCCAAAATACATGATGAAGTCACTGTTGAGATGATTGATTATGAAGTTTCAATATTAGATCACACATCAAGTGGGAGATAAAAGTATCTTAGATTGAGAAGTTAGAGTTTTGTATACCACAAGCCTTGCACAATGTTTTTCCAAAATAAATATCTGAACACCATGGACAGTGTGATGCTACTGCAGTTTTGGGGTGAGCCTAGCAGCCTTAGTATATAGTGTTAGAAATTCATCAGGAAGAGTCAGGCTTCAGACGAGATCTTTATCAGTCTGGCACCAGTCCAGTGAATATGTAGTCTGATGTGGCTTGAGTAACGATTTCTATTTATTTCTGTTAATTTTTAAGATCCCCTGCTATCATGATAGCCGCTACTCTTCCTGGGGTCCAGTAGACATACCATACACTACAAAACAGTGCAATAACAATTAATGAAACAAGTCATACAAAAACAAAACAGTAAAAACAAAACAAAAAGAACTGAGAGAAAACAAGACACATGAAAATAGAAAAAACACAGTAGGATCATTTAAAACATACAGTAACAGTAGAAAGACCATGAAACTCCCCATAGTGTTGTTCCAACTGCCAAGGACCTATCTACCTAACAGATCTTTAAATTTGTCAAATAGTTTAAACATTATTTTGCCCTTGATTTTAGGCAGAGAGACCGGTAAGGAATTCCACATCTTTATAAGATGCAAGATTTACCTTTTTACGCTCTGACACACATCCATTATAAAACCCTTTGACTTCAGTACAAGAGATACTGTAACTGTTGATTCTAGCCCATAACAGCCTAGCTTCTTCAATAATAGATCACGATTCAATGCATCAATAGCAGCACTCAGTACTCTAAAAGTACTGCTCCAACAATCTTATTTCCAGTTTTTTTTAACTAGTCATCATTCATCTGTTTTAATGCTGTACATGCCCTTTCCTATAAGCATGCTGAAAATTTGTGATTAAATTGTTTTCTAATAAGTAGCTTTGCAATCTAGATGTCATTACTTTCTCTAACAGTTTGGCTAAAACTGCCAATAAGCTTGTAGGTCGACTGTTGGGTCCACTAAAGGAAGCTTTTTTGTCTTTTGGCAGTGAGATTACTTTCGCTTCCTTCCACAACTTTGCATATAGACCCTTTTGTAAGCTTAAATTGAAGATAAAAGATGGCAATGAGTTATCTTCCTTACAAGATACAATTCAACATCTAGGTGTCCCTATTACCATCTGACACTTTATCCAACATTTCTCCCATCAATTCTAAATAACGGCTGTCGGCTAGGTGGTCTATAGCAGCATCCCACAAGCATAAGTTTCATGTACGGTAGGTGAATTTGAAACCATCAGGCTTAAATATCATTGAAGATCAAGTCCACTCTAATCTGTACAGCAATGTGTGACTTAATGTAGATCATTATGCCACCACCATAGCTATAGTCTAGGTCTGTTTCTGAGACTTTTAAAACAAGAATTTTATATTCCTTCGGCATTTCTAACATTTCATGAACTTTATTTCTTATACTACATACATTCAAGTGTGCTATATTTAGCCCCTTCTTTGGTAGTTTGTTAAAACATCTCATATTAATGTGTTTTTTATTTTTTCATATTATCTGTCTGTGTATGTGTCCTGATTTGTGTATGTATGTCTGGACTCACACCTCTTGTTCTCTGTACATCCTTTAAATTCTTTTTTTTGAGGGAGGATGGACTACTATTTTGTCATACTTGACGTATGCTCTTTCTCTCGCAGCTCTCAGTGCTGGAATAAGTTCTTTCCTCTTTTGACCTACAGCCTCTGTATAGTCCTCACTAATGTAGATACTTTCTTTCAGGTATTTGCAGTTAGTTAAGATGGTTGTTTTGTCTTTGTACCTGATAGACTTTATCACCACAGAACGTGGTCTGACCTCATTGTTTCTGACATCTGACATCTGACATCTTTATTTTGTCCTCTGTTTTCTTTCTCGTTCAGAGTTTCTGGAATGCCATCTATAACCACATTATTCCTTTTAGACTGACCTTCCAAGTAGTCTATCTTCCCTGTCATTGTTAACATGGACTCACGCATGGTTTTATGTCAGATTGCGTCACAAGTCAGTTTTAATATCTTTGGTGTCCTCTGTTTATTTCTTCGATTTCCTTCTTTAACCAGTTAATTGACCCTTTTGTTCAGTTTCCATGACAAGTTGAACAAATCCTTTAAAGTTAATTCCTTGTTGTGGTATAAGCTGTACATAAAAGTCTTTTTGCTGTTGTAACAGTTCTCTCACTTGCTGAAGTGAAACATTTTCCTCACCTGTCATTCCTTGTCCCTTGGGCATGGCCAGAAATTCATACAGTGTACACAGCACATAGTGCAAAGCACAAGTGGCATCTGCAGCTCCCCAGTCAGCCTCAGTGTAGAGCGCGAGCTTTGAAAAAATGCTTTTAAAACAGTGTACCAGTGAACTGGAATACGTTACAGAAAACTCTAAAGCTCTGCTTGCTGGTGTCACTCAACCATTTTAAACTTTAAAACTTAAACTCTAAAATTTAAACCTAAACTCTAACCTCCTCTATTCAGCCTGCTAATGTTTGATTTTAGTTATTTTACTGTTTAGTTACATTTTATTATTATCACTTAATTTGTATAGTCTGCTGTAGATGCCTTTAGATGCTTATCTTGCATTTAACCCTTGTGTGGTGTTGATGTGTGCGGTACTTGGTGGTCTGGTGGACCCACTGCATTATTGTTTTTTTAAATCAATATAGCCGTAACAATTTATGTAAAAATACTAGATGTTTAAAATATCACAAATGTCCAGCGGTGGGGTCCCCTTTTAGCAGCTGTAGCCAGTCAGCAGCCTGTCCATGTTGTCCAAATACAAACACACACACACTAACAGGAGGTCATGTAGGAATGAATCAACAGAGTGAAGGGACACAGCACCTCCACACTTTTATTCCCTGTGGGTTCACCCCAACACTATATGTGTAATACAAATGTGTAGGAGGTGGACAGTGTGAAGGCACTGATAATAATAATAATAAAATCACATATTTTTTTCTTTTGGTAAACATGATGACATAATGAACTTATTAACATACTTTAAACTAATTACCTTATGTTAAACTAAATATCTACTGAATTCACCTTAATCCTCCCTAAAACTAATCCTGGCCCTAACCTTAACCTTAATCTCACCCCAAAACCTGAACTTAACCCTTGCTCTGGTTATAAACTTAACTCTTGTATTAACCCTAACCCAAATCCTAATACTGTTGAGAATCAATGGAGGTGATGAGGGTCTGTGCGAGTCCTTCAGCGATGTATTCTCCGTAGCTTTTTGCCCAGTATTTTTTTATTTACTGTCTGTTCTGTATTTATGTCCTGTTCCACACAGCAGACATTTAAAATACTCTGTTATATTCTAAAAATGCTCCTCACAGTTGCATGTTTGAATAATGTGTGTTTACAGCACCTCTTTAGCAGAATAAATGTGGAACAATTAGGTAAAACATCCTTAATTAAGATCAGAAATTGATTTAATAAAAAAAATGGATGGATTAGCTCTGATCCAAGTAAAGAAATACACACACACTGGCCTCATTCATGAAACCTTTGTAAATAACTAAATTATGAATCCAAAAATGGGTTTATGTTAACATAATCTACACTCATTTAGAAATTAAAAATGATCACCATATAAGGAATCCATCAGACTATCTGACAAAGCTGTATAATAAATTTTCACATTTTTAACACTGTAAAATGATTTGTTGTTTTAATTTGTTAACATGACTGCTCTAAAACTGATTTTATTAAACTTATAATAAAAAGCTAACAATGTAAGATATAAAGTATTGATCTGTAAACTGTTTGAGATTCAGCACACTTAAAAAGGCAGGCAGGATGCTTACTTATGGTAATGTTAAACCCCATTTCAACAGTGTGAAACTGGACAGATCTCTAAAGAAACTGATGGTTGTGCATACATACAGTACTGTAGAAAAGTATTTTCTGATTTCGAAGAACGCAGTTAAAAATAAAACTCTAAAATAAAACTCTTTTTAAGTGATCATTTCATTTACTGAGGAAAAAACAGTGAAAAGGTAATGAATCAATAAATTAACGCAGTTGATATTTGGGATCAAATAAACTAGACACACCCAGGCTTGATTACTGCCAACCCTTACTAATTGTGGAATGGTGTATGCAGCACTGTGAATGTCTCATCAATTGGCACGATTTGTCACAGTCAAAAGAAATTCCAGAAAAGATGAGAATGTTAATGAAACCAGTCTGGAAAGGGACATTTCCAAGGGTCATGGACTCTAGTAAGCCATTCTCTCCAAAATGGAGAAAATTGCCTGCCTACCAAAGCTCCTCCAAGGGCATAATGACAGCTCACCGAGAAGGTCACAGTAGAACCCAGACAAACATCTAAGAAACTGCGGACCTTGGTCACCTCAGATAAGGTTAGCGTACACAATTCCACCATTAGAAAAAGACCAGAAAAAAATGATATGAATGGAGGAGCTGTAAGGCAAAAATCATGGCTAACCAAAAAGACATCTTGATCACCTCCAAGCATTTTGGAATAGTGTCCTGTGAGTTAATGAGTAAAAAGTGCAAAATTGTGGAAGACAGGGGTCCCATACCAATAGCGAAAGGTGGAGATGGAAGTGTGATAGTGTAGGGATGCTTTGTTGCCTGGGAGACTAAATTCATCATTGAAAGAACCATAAATTCTGTTCTTTATCTCAAAATCCTGCAGGAAAATGTCCAGTCATGACTCATGATCTGAAGCTCAGTCTTAATTGGGAAGGGAAATGAAGGGAAATGAACAAACTTAAACATTCTCCAAACAACAGAAACTCAGGGTCATCCAGAGACAGATTCAAACTGTGGAACTACAGTGTCAAAAGCTGCCGTGACACAGGGTAAACTAGAGAGAGCGGCAGAAGAAGTATAGTGTAACATTGTTACACTACAATTCAACAGAAACAGTGAGATTGCTTTTTCCAGGTAGTAATAAGTAATGTAATCCTATATAATTTTGAGAGAAGTAATTAGCAACGTGTACTGTATTATTACTCAAAACACTGGTGGCCATAGAGTTCAATTTTTTTTCATTCATCAGCCAACAGCACTTGATCCCAAAATACCTCTGGTTTATCGAGATGTTATCTAAAATATCTCAGATAGTGACTTGTGATGACATCACAGGTAATGTTTCTTTCTGATTTAGATTCAGTTTACTTTAATGGTATTTCCGTAACTTCCTCCATGCCTATTTCTTTGTAATGATTCCAGGAGGAACATAGATTCTGCTTTGGAGTCTTGGTTCTTCTTCTTCTAATCATGTCCTGGAGCACTGGATTGGAACGAGATTGTTATCATGTTGTAATTAGTAGCATGAAGATGTTAAGTCTGTTTATTGTGTTTTTGTTCCATCTCATTTGATATCAGAGTGTTGAGAATATTTCTGTCGCTGGATTTTGCTGAACACAGATGCCATCTGTCCCTCTTTTTCCTTCCTTTCTGCAGATTATCTGGTTGTATGGTGGCAGATGATGGCTGTTCTTTCCTGGCTTCAGCTCTAAAATCAAACCCCTCCTATTTGAGAGAACTGGATCTGACCTATAATCACCCAGGAGAGTTTGGAATGAAGCTGCTCTCTGATTTACTGGAGGATCCACACTGCACACTGGAGAAACTACAGTGAGTTTCTGACTTACTGTCTCTACACACAGACTGACTTTAATTATATATATTATACACATTACTGACTGTGTTTTACTTTAGATGTGTTTTTCTTTGAATTGTTAGTCTTCTCAACATGACACTGAGGTCCAGAGCTTGGTAGTTTTGGAAGGGAACATTTATCACTTACTCAAGATGCAGTCAAACATCCAAGACATATTCGGTATCTGACATGTTCTTCTTTAGTTTACAACAGGAGTTAGGCTAGTGTTGCTAATAAACTGTAGACTCAGGCTGTCACCAAACTCATCACCATAAATACATGCCCAAAAATGTATATCAACCCACTCAAAATGCACACAGATAGCCATTGTTTCATGCACACTTTGATGTGGTTTAGAATTCATTATGACTTTAATTTATAAAAACAAAAATAAACTTCATTTTAAAGGTTAATGCTGGGCAGCCACTGTGAATAACCTGAAACAGTTTTACCTCAGCACCACTTTATTTCATTTTTAATCAATGTTGTGCTATAACCCAACAGGCCATTGTTTATCCAAAATACACAAAAACTTAAGCAGTAAAATATAGGCATTTATAATAGAAATATTCAAGAAATATTCAAAAATGGCTGTAATTGTGATTTGGAGCAGCAGTGTTCTGTAAACTGGTAATGGAGCTAAAGTGCTTAAATATCTAATGTTAGTTCACTGTATTAATGTGAAGATGGTGATTTAGGGCAGCAGTGTTCTGTAAACTGGAGTTCTGAAACAGAAAGCTGGTTTCAGTAAATGATACAGAGGATTCTGCAGAAACAAGAAAAGCTGAAATAACAGCCCTCAAAACCTCCAAAAAGTAATGACCAACCATGACATTTAACTTTATTCTCTTTTGTAGTGTTTAAACATGATTGTCTCTCATTACAGACAGTCTGTATTACCAGTGTAATAATAATAATAATAATAATAATAATAGTAATAATAATCAAACCCCATTTCCAAAAATGTTGGGACGCTGTGCAAAGTATAAATAAAAACAGAATGATGTGCAAATAATTTAAATTCTATATTTAATGAAAAGATATTGAACACATGATTTCTACTACAGAATCATGTCTGTTATTAATACAGTGCTGCCTGAGGGCCCGAAGATCATGACCAGCCAGTATTGGTTTTCGGTCTTGTCCCTTGCATACATAGATTTCTCCAGAAATCTTTTAATGATATTATGTACTGCAGATAATGCAATCTCCAAGTTCTTTGATGCTTTACATTGAGAAATGTGATTCTCAAATTGTTGCACTATTTACCCATGCAGTCTTTCACAGAGTGGTGAACCCCCCCCCCTCATCTTTACTTCTGAAAGACTCAGACTCTCTGGGATGCTCTTTCCATACCCAATCATGTTACTGACCTGTTGCTAATTAACCTAATTAGTTGTGAGATGGTCCACCAGGTGTTCTTTACCTGGCAACAATCACCTGGGATTCCATAGCAACTGCATAGCAACCATCAGGGATACCATAGCAACAACCTAGCAACCCTTCAGCAGCCACCTTGAATAGCATAGCAACCTCCTAGCAACATCTCATTAACCATGTGGAATTAGCTCTGATCCAAGTAAAGTGGAATTCTCAAATTGCTTAAGCTGCATACTGTTCAGGAAATGCACTATTCTTGTTATTATTATTATTATTATTATTAAAATATTTTTTAAAGATTTTTAATATTTTATACTGTAATGATCTGTTTTTTTTATTTTAGTTTTATCTGCACTGTAAGGTCTGAAGGATGTTTCATGCTGTAATGATGTTTTATTCTTCATTTTATTTTAGTTTTATCTGGATTGTAAGGTCCGATGGGTGTTTTATACCGTAATAATCTGTTTTATTCTGTTTTTTTTTATTTTATTTTTGAATTGATTTGAAGTTTAATGAATGTATAAAAGTGTGTGTTTGTTCTTCAGGGTGGATCATGGAGGGCAGATCAGGATGAAACCAGGACCACAGAAATGTAACAGACACATACACACATACACACATTCACACACACACACACATTCATTCAACACAAATAATACAAACACACTAACTAGAAACACATTCTCTTTGTTTTCTCTATTCTATGTCTGTATGTTTGTGTGTGTGTGTGTGTGTACAGATGTGTGTGATCTCACTCTGGATCCAAACACAGTGAACAATCGTCTCTCTCTGTATGAGAGGAACAGAAAGGTGGAGGCTGTGAGAGAAGGTCAGCGTTATCCGGATCATCCAGACAGATTTAAAATGTATCCTCAGGTCTTAAGTGTGGAGAGTCTGACTGGACGGTGTTACTGGGAGGTTCAGTGGAGCGGAATTGGAGTTGATATATCAGTATCATACAGAGGAATCAAGAGGAATGTAAACAGTATTGACTGCGTGTTTGGATACAATAATCAGTCCTGGAGTCTAAACTTTTATAATAACAGTTACACTGTCAGACACAATAATCAGAGAACTGACCTACCTGCCCCCACCTCCCTCTCTAACAGAGTAGGAGTGTATCTGGACTGGGGGTCCGGCACTCTGTCCTTCTACACCATCTCACCTAACACACACACACTGACCCACCTACACACATTCACCACCACATTTACTGAACCGCTCTACGCTGGATTCTGGATTTATCCTGATTCGTCATTGAGTCTGTGTAAGATAGAATAATCTCTACGCACAGAGACAGAGAGAGACACAGATGAGAGAAGAAGATATATAGAGAGAGAGACAGAGGGAGAGATATAGAGAGAGACAGAGATAGAGATACACTATGGGCAAAAGTATTGGGACACCTACACATTACACCTAGAGGGGTTTTTGTGAATCCCATTCTGAATCCATAGGCATTAATATGGAGTTGGTCCCCCTTTGCAGCTGTAACACCTTCCACACTTCTGGGAAGCTTTTGACAAGATTTTGGAGAGTGTCTGTGGGAATTTTGGTCCATTCTAGTTCATCCCAAAGGTGTTCAATGGGGTTGAGGTCAGGGCTCTGTGAGGGCCAGTCAAGTTCTGTTTCCACTGTTTTCACTGGAACTGAGGGGCCTAAGCCAACCCCTGAAAGCACCACTCCATTAGATGCTTGGCATTGTACTTGGTGATGTAAGGCTTGCATGCAGCTGTTCGGCCATAGAAATCCAGGCCATGAAGCTCCCGGCGCACAGTTTTTGCGCTGATGTTAATGCAAGAGGACGTGTGGAACGCTGCGGTTACTTTATGCGCTACGGTGGCGTCCTATTACAGAAGCACGTGTGAATTCAGTGAGCTCTTTAGAAGGACACATTCTTTCACAAATGTTTGAAAAGGCAGACTGCATGGCTAAGAGCTTGATTTTATAAATCTTTGGAAATGGGACTGAATGAAACACTCAAATTCAGTGATTAAGAGATGTGCATCAATGCTTTTGTCCATATAGTGTACAAAGAGGGAGAGACAGTGCAAGAGATGAGAGAGAGTCACACAGAGAGACAGAAAAGGAGAGAGAGAGATACTGAGAGAGAGACTAACAGAAAGTGAGACAGAGAGGGAGAGAGTTGGCTGGTGAAAAAAAAACATTGTTCTCTGGTTTTCTCTAAAAGATGAATCCAGAAAAAGAACAGACATACACGGCCATGTGTTCATATATGAGACACATATCGGATATATTGTTTCATTACAAAATACCAGATTTAAAAAAACACATTGCCTGAGGGAGGATATATAGGTGGTGGGCAGAGTCTTGGAATCCTACTCTGGAAGACTGAATCCGAAAGTGGAAAGAGTTCCAGAATTTGACGGAACATGAGGGACATGAAGGACAAGCTTGTTCAAGGAGGATCTCTCTAAAGGGGACCATGAGAGGAGATAGAAGCTCTGGCTGGAGGTTGAAAAGGCATAAGCAGCAGGGAAAATGCTTCACTGCAGTACTTCACTGGACCTTCACTGGACCTAGAGCTTTTATCCAAGGTGAAGGAGATACTCCTGGTTGAATAACTTAGGTTGCTTGTTTAAAAATAACTTTGGAGGTGACATTCTTTGTTCTGATTGTGACTGTCATGGTCATTTTATATGTTTGGTCATGAGATGTAATAATTTAACTTTGATTGTAGTTAACATATATGATTTGAGATGAACTTCAGCCTGAGCTCATATATGTGAACTGCGCTCCATCCATTCTGGCACACAATGCTTCTCCAGCGGTGTGCGGTATGGTTTACTCTGTAAAACCATCACCAAAAGTCAGACATCAACCAAAGTCCTCAACAAGCTGTAGTCCATTGTCTGATTCAGTGGCATAGGAGAAGGTAAACTTTTCCAAATGCACAGAACCAAAGAAGACGACATGAGATAAAATCAGACAGCAGAGGTGTGCAAAGACAAAGCAAAACAACGCTGCAAACTCAAAAATCTAAACCCAGTTATTGTAGGTAAAGCACACTGCCACGGTGGGCAGGAAAAATATAATTTAGTCCATTCATGTCTTACTTTTAATGTATTGAAGTAACATTAGATGTTTGCATTGATATTTTCACAAAGCACGTTTCAGCTATTGTAGTAAAAGAGCACTGTAAATACCACAATTCACAAAAAACTGGTGACACCAGTAGAAATTGACGTGCTCTACGGACGGACTCTGACGTTTAACTGTTGTCAGCTTCAGATTCAAACACTGGCCACTAATAACAAACTGAAAAAGATGATGGCGGGTAGCAATGGATAGAACAGTGACCCTCCAGAACAGGATCAGCACACACTGCTCTTCACAGATAGGATGGAGATCCCCCAGAACAGGACCAACATGCACTGCTTATCACAAGTGGGACGGAGACACCCCAGAACAGGATTAATACATACCGCTCATCACAGACATGCGGAGGAGGTGTGTGTGTTTACACCAACACGGAATGGTGTAAGAACTCTGTGCTTGTCGCGAAGTACTGCTCTCCGCTGGTGGAGTTTGTGAATCTTAAGAACGATGAGTCAGCACACAGAGAGGAGGTGCGGCGACTGACAGACTGGTACAAAGTCAACAACCTACATCTGAATATGACAAAACAAATGAGATGGTTATTGACTTCAGGAGAGCACAGAGTGATTTTCTTTTCAGGTCTTTCATTTCAGTACCAAATCTTGCCTCCATGGCACACAGAGCTACAGATAAAAGTATGGAATAAAATGTATTGAATTCATCATGTGCTAAAAAGATCACTGTGATTTCAAACCAATTTCTGAGATTATAGGGGAAACCATGGAGTGTTGTCACATGGCTAAACTGCAAGTTGGAAGACTTTGCGTGACCTATTTATGTAACAACAACAAAAAATGAAGTAAGACAGTTCAACAAAGTGTAAAAAAGAGCACAGATTTGATGCATTGAATGACATGCAAACTAATCTGCATCTGATTCAAGAAACTTTTGTATGATGCACAAGCAAGAGGAAATCTGAGTGCAAATGAATCAGCTTTAGCATGTGAAATCAAGTGCCAGCCTACCAGCACCTCATTTGCATATCATTTACATGATTGATGCAGATGTTTTGCTAGGGAACCACTGAAATGACAGCATTCAGCAGTGCATGAGCCAATGGCTGTACTTGTATGCACATGAGTAGTTTGTGCTGGAGCACTTCCTGAATGCACTGCTGCAGAGAAGCTGAGGCGACATGTACAACTCACCACACCAGCCAGCCTTCAAGCAGCCTTTGCTGATGCAGAGAGGGTAGAACTGATCCTTGGTGTGACAGAGGCCATTGTGAGCAACACAAAGCTATGTGGTGGAGGAGCTTGAGAAGGAGATGACCTACTGAGTGGCCCTGGAGCAAGTTGCGACAGAGCGACCAGTGTGCTGGGCTGACATGACACCACACAGGCCCGCTGGTAAAGTACTTCAAGCCGGCTGGGACAGCCTCCGGATGCACAACGAGATGCTGTACTGTGTGTTGGAGGAGCTGGTGCCAGAGAAGCTTGTGTGGCAGCTGGTGGTGCTGCATAACCTGAGGAAAATGGTGCTGGGCACTGTGCATGAAGTGGCTAGCATGGGGCACTGCGGTGTGGGCAAGACAAGGAAACGATTGTGGCAGAGGTTTTACTGGCTGGGCTATTCGAAGGATATGGAGGTGTATGTGCATTGCTATGACCAGTGCACAGTAAAGAAAGGACACTACAATATTTTCTCTTTGTAATATTTTATTCATCACATTTTTTTAGAAAGCACATAGAATTGCTTCTAGTTCAAAATGAGTGACATATCAAGTAGGTTATAACCATAATAGCTGCTTAAACATTAATTGTCAAAGGCTTAACATATAGAGAACAGATTAAAAACTCAAATATATATTGAAAAGAACCCTAGGCATAAATCACAAATACATAGATAGAAAAAAAATGGCATCGTCAGTTGAAAAAACTGCGTATTTGACTGACTAGTGGAGAAATCAAATGTGTTGCATGCCAATTTGTTTTTGAATTTGCTTGAAAAGCTATCAAATTTGCTTTGAGTAACTGTCAAGTTGAAAGGAACTTATGTTTCAGCATCTCACAACATGCAACTGGATACATGAACGTTTCTCAGTGTGAATCCAGCCTGAAAGCATCAAACGTTCTCTCACTCACGGGTTTCACCGAACTAAATAAAACTGTCACAGTCTGGTGGTTTTGCTGGGTCACAGTGTTCGTGATGTGTTTACAAGTGATAATCACCCCATTAATGCAGCGACGCACAGCTCCAGTCCTGGAGGCCACAGTATTTTTTATTGTTTTATTATTTTATTGTTTTATCTGCTTGTAGACAGCAGACTCAACTCAGTAGCTACATTAAACAAGGTCTTGTACTGAAAACTATTGTGTCCTGTAGGATGTTGTACTCTATTAATAGTGAACTGATATTTTAATATTAAAGAAAAAAAAAAGTGTTAAGGGAATCACTTTGGCTTCTCTGTCCAAGGAGGAAACACTATAAATAAGCTCTGTAAAATCTATTTTATAAATATGTGACGCAGGTGTTTATTTAGTGGAACTGAAGAGTCTCATCAGCATGAGCCAACCTTGATCACATGAGAACCTGAAAGTGGAAAATCTCCCTGATAACAGAAGTGCAGTAACTTCTATCAGCTCCTTTTGAACTTTTGCATTCTTGGTCAACATAATCCACCGTAACATCACGTTTTACAGTTCACAAACTCAATATTTATTTATTTATGAAATAGTAACATGAATTACTTGAAGATCAAAAACTAAGAGTGAAAACACTACATAAACAAGGTTTATTATGAATGAATTTCTTTTTTTTTCCTTTGACAATGACAGGACAAGAAGAACATTGCACACTAGTTAAAATGAGAAAAAGTTATAAAAAATAGTATTCTGTTATTAGTGTCTAAAATCTTAGTGAAGAACAGTTGGAAATGAGAAACAAAGAAAATAAACAGGTGATAAATAATAATGAATACACACTGTTTCATGTACATGGAAACACAATTTCTACTCTCTTTTCCATTGAATATTTAATAATTAATTGCTCAAATAGAAAACAGCATGTGACCACTAAACGTGCAATGATGAAACCTGCTATCATATACCCATGCTTTAGAGTGGAGTTTAATACAGACGACGTCTCCTACTTCCAGTAACAGTGAGACTCCATTAGAGGAACTCACACTGTGCTGGTCCTGATAAGCATATGTTCCAGCTACCTGATGTCCATTCTTATGTAGGATCACTGATACAGCTCTTCCACTATATCCGTAGATGTGGAATCTGAACTGGTAGACTCCTCTCACAGGCGCAGTGAAAATTCCTGTTGAAAGGGTAAATATTGGTAAAAAGAGCATATAATATATGGTGGGAATGGAGGAAGAACTCCCCCTTAACACTGTGAAATTACACCATATTTATAATTTATCTGTATCATATTCAAATCCTATCAGCAAATCATCACAAATGGGATAAAATGTTTTCTATTATAATGCATTTTTTGACTGTGAATGGTTATACTATACATGTACAATATAATCATTTAGACGCAGATTACCTGTAGCTGGATTGTAAGCTTTGCCGATGTTGGTGAAGACGTGTTTGTAGACCAGAGGAAATAAAGTGCTGTATGGCCCAGTATGACCATCTCCATCTACTAAAAGTGATGCTGAAAACGCCACTTTTCTCTCTTCAATGAACAGAACATTTTACACTGTTAGTCAAATAATGTGAAAACTGACATTAGTTCTTGTTAAGACAAGATAATTAAAACATTATTTAAATGTTGATGACGCAAATCCATTACATGAAAAGCCATGATCTTCAATTAATTTCACACTTTGTGATTTTTCTTTGAAGGAAAAGAACAATATCAAGTTTAGCTCAGCTTTTTCAACGTTTGCCAGAATAACCTGAATGTGCTTCTGTTCCAGTCAGTCTGTAAAGCTTTTTAATTGCTAACTGTAGCAATAAGGTAGGTGTATCTAATAAAGTAGCCAGTGAGTGTACCTGATACACCAGCACGAGCACAGACTACCATGCCATCGTCATGTCAATGTCACTTCTGTGCTGAGAATGATCTGATACCCAAATAGTATCTGCACAACAGCTGTCATGTGGTCATCCCTTTTCACTGATCAACAGGGTAGATGAAGGGGCTAATCAATTGTAGCAACAACAAATTGGCTACATTCTGTAACTATAAACCTACAATATACTTGTGGCATGTGCCCGTCCCCTGGGCCCTGCCTTCCTGCTGGCTCACGCAGCCGTCATTGGGGCCCATGGGATGGGCGCATACCACAGTGCTCCTCTGTGGTATGTGTTTCTAATAAAATGGCCAATAAATGTGGGGGTCGATTGAATTATTAAACTCAGAGCACATACATATCAGTACAAACCTGAAACTTATGATACAATCACACTTTCAAATATATTCTCCTCTATCTAAATTGAACATTATCCACTCGACACGATACAATGTGCATTTCCTTTTCACATTTTGAATGTTGATCTATAACACTAATTCAGGTTGCCTTACCAAAATATCCAATACAAACCAGCAAGCTTTGTCAAATGGTTGTTTAGAGATTTTGTCAGTTTAAGGCTGCAGTTTGATAGCTAGTGCTGGTATATAGAAACACAATTCCAAAAAGATTGGGACAGTATGTGAAATGCTCATAAAAACAGAAAACAGTTATTTCTAAATTCTTTATTAAATTGAAAACACTAGTACTCTTTTTAAATCACCAGTATTAAAGCTGAAATGTTTTTTTTTGTTCTTTCTTGTTATCCTTTATAATAAGTTGTACAAGTCTGTAGCTGCGTAAACTGTATGGGGCCTTCAGTGTCATGTTTTGCACTTCAAATGTGTCACATGTTTTCAATGGAAGACAGGTTTGGACTGCAGACAGGCCAGCACCCACACTCTCTGATTATGCAGTCATGCTGTTGTAATGTGAAGTATGTGGCTTGACTTTGGATAAGCCTGGATGAGCCTGAAGAAGATGTCATCTAGAAGGCAGCATGTGCTTCTCTAAAATGTGCATATGTCCTTCAGCACAGAGATTTCTATGGGATGCTAATTCCTGCAGTCACTCATTGAGGAATGTTGTTCTGAAACTATCATATTATTTGCTGATGCATTTTTTTGCAACACGCCGAGCCTCAACCCACCCTTACTCATAAACGACTAGACTTTATATCCAAGAATGATTACATCACATGTTTAAGGGTTATTTTTTACATTTCACAACGTTGCTAGCATTAAATTGATCCTGTCTCAACATTTGTGGAACATCAATTTCTAAATTAGCATATATTTAAAAAAAACAATGAAGTTGATGAGATACTACATCTAAATACAACTATCTTGCCTTTATACTGTATTTGTTTATATACAGATACTAGCAGCTGAATCTGAATATCTCAAGTTAGTTAGAAAGTGAGTTAGATTGTACACATTAATTATAATCTAGTCTAAAAAAACAACAAAATACGTTTAAATGCAATGATGTCAGCACCTTCCTCACATTTTATATTCTAAATCCTCTTCTCACATCTTTCTCAACTGTTTGTAGAAATTTGAATATATTTCCTTGATTCTCCTGTTTCAGGCTCTCCACTTGGTTCTCTGTGATATTGAATGAGGTTTTCAAGTCTTTTATTTCCTCTGAGTAACAATGCATACAGTAGATCTGTTACAACCATTCATATCTCAAGTGAAAGCACATTTATTTTCATTAAACTTTATTCCAAATCCAACAATTCATACAAAATGGTTAACATTGAGTACATATACATTTTTTTTCTGAAAGGTGATATGGGAGAAATGAATGCTGGATGATGCTTTGTTCTTCGCAAAATGCTGAACACTTATGTCTACTTCAATAAATCTCACGCGGAAATTCATAGAACACAGTTACACTCACGATATAAGACAATATTCCTCCATTTCACTTCTAAACAAATGGATTATAAATAATTACCATCATTTTTTCTTTTCAGCTCCTCCAGTTCAGTCCCAAATCTCGCCTCCATGGCACTCTGATTCACCACTTGAGCTTCAGATGAATCTTTAAAAACTTTGATATACAATAATTGGCTGATTTTTAGTACTTTTAATTTAAGAAATGTGTTTGTGTCTTTTCTTTGGTTTATAAAAGAAAGATATATAAAAGGTAGAAAGGTGTAAAGCATATCACAGAAAGTCTACTTATCATTTGCTCTATGAGTTTGATTACAACAGAAACAAGTTCAATAACTTACACTGATTTAACTGACTCTGCTCCTCATTCTTCTTCCTCAGTTCCTCCACTTGACTCTCACTGGCTCTCAGTCTGCTCTCTATGTTGTTCACTGCAGTCGTCGTGTGTCTCTGCTCAACTTTCAGCTCTGCCAGCATAGCGCTCATCTCTCTCAGTACAGAGTGGATGTCCGGCTGGCAGCTTTGTTGGGTGGAGGTTGTGGCTGGAGGTTCAGTTCTGGGATCCTCAGCCTGAATCTGGTTCTCTCTGCCTTCATAATGACTCAGAGTGATGTCCTTCACACTGACCGACTGTCCCGTCCAAAAAACTGTAGCACAGCAGCACCAGCAGAGAAACAGCTCTCATCCTTAACAGGCTTCCTTTGTCGTCTTGGGATTAAGTGATAGACTCATATGCATAAATATATAGTCTACAGTGGTTAATTATTAACTATGTTGGGTTATTTGCTCTGGAACATGTCAGCATTTTAACTGATAAGTAAACGTGATTTTGCACGTTTTTGCAGACATTTAGGATACACGTGAATGTTGATTGATTAGTGTCACTTATAGGTCTACAGTAATATTTATGTTGCTGCTTTCTATATTATTTTCACTAGGTGGTCAGAATCTGCATTTTCCAAGCAAGCAAGCCAGAGATTTCAGTCAAACTTGTCCCAGAATTCCAAGACACATTCAAAGGTTACAGGTTAATAAAGATAAATTGCAGTGAAGTTTGAAGTTGGCAGTTTTGCAGTGCACAGCATTGCTTGTTTTTAATGTGACTGACAGGACTTTTTATAGCAGTGTGTAACGTTTAAGGCATGTAGGCAGGTTGAATATGTGGAGTAGCTTTATTGGGGCAATCCAGACATCATAGTCCATAGAACAGGCAGGGGTCAATACACAGGCAGACATCAGAGACAGATCCAATAATAAAACCAGAAAATAAAGCTAGGGTACAAAAATGAAAAATGTTTATATTACTTAACAAATATAAGTAATGTAAGTAAATATGAAGCTGAGTCAGTTGTGTCCTTTCAGTAAAATTCAGTGAACTGTCAGATTTACTGTATAAGTGTTTGTTTGGTCAGTGTAATCTGGTTGAGTAAAATTCAACGTCTTTCCCATTGGCTTCTACATCATCTATTTCGGTTAACTGCCGAGCCACTTTGATGTCTATAAATGCAATTTGCCAGAATCTTACTGCAGAGCGTAATTCTACAACAGCTCAGTACTTAAGTTACAACTGCAAATCTAACTTAAACCTATTAATTTTGTTCTTTTTCTACTGTGATGCATTTGAATTCATTTTCAGTACAGGTTAATCAAATGAACATCTTAAAGGCTACTTAACCCAGTTGTGTGGAACCACTTGACATAACAGTTTTAAGTAAATGCAACATTTCATTTTTAATAAAAAAACATAAAAATAATGAGTCCAGTTAAACAGAATTTATTCAAATCACTGTAGTGTAATTTACTTGACTTGACTTGACCAGTGATGTTCAACTGGCAATTCGTCATCTGGCTGCATTTCATGGGCTCACATTTCAACAATATTAACTGGGCTTCACTCTGCATGTTTTCCCAGAACACCTCAGTGACATTTAATGAGATAAACAAACTATAATAGAAAAAGTAAACACACATTCTTTGAGTTTGCTGAAAACTAATAAACAATACTTCTGTTGCACAACTAGATATTTCAGCCATATTCTCAAAACAGAGGCAGAGAACCATTTTGCCTTGACTTTTTTGATGAAGAGACTGTAGCAGACTCAGAGAATCCAGCTTAAAGCATTAAGACTGTAAGCTGTGTGGGTGTGATTCGCCATTAGCCTGTGCGCCTTAATCCAGGTTGAAGAATATCACTATTCCATTTCAAAGTCAGTGAGTTTTGCTCTGAGTTTGAAAACCAAGCTCAGCATTTTTTGAAGGGGTTTTTCTTGAGCATTTTAAGCTCTAATGGACTGTTCATTTTTCTACAAACACTACAGCGAGCTGCAGCAGCCGGCATTTTCTGTGAGCGTAATGCGGACATGTGATGTGCCTTAGGCCCAAAACGTACTTCACGCAAGGATACGAACACAAATGACGGTGCTCGTTCAATGCTCGTTCAATGCTCGTTCAATTCCTTCTCTACGAACTCACTGTGCGCTCTTATGTTGCTCTGGCGGTTAAAACACTCAGCACTGAAGGGGGGCGATAGAGGGCAAACCAGAGAGGGATCTACTGTTGTTCCAACAGCCTCAACAGCTAAACGTGGACAGTAGAGGAGAGTGAGCTGCTTTACCTCTTCTCTTGAAATGGAAATGCGATAAATGTATGATATTTTTATGATTATGTAAGGCGTCTTTGCGTGAGACTCGACTGCTCATCTGCTATGGCAGTTAAGACAGCACGTTGGCGGTGCGTGACCGCTTGGTCAGGCTTGGCTGTTGTTATAGCGCCCCCTTGCTGTAACACTTATATTGCAGCTTGTGCTTATGTTGTGTTATGAAATGCGTCGTGACACATTTTTCAACGCAACTACACACGAAACCCCATCTGCGTAGCTCGAAAGCGTCTATGTTTGCGTCCTTGCCTGAAGTATGTTTCGGGCCTGCAGCTTTGTTTAGGAGGAGTTCTCCATGACACTCAAAGACATCTTCCAGCATCAATCCCTCTGCTTCAGACTGGTAATTGAGTTCCATTTTCTACTTACTATCAGAGACTGAGTCAAGTTCCATAGAACAAAAAGGGTTAAATTCTGATGGTTTTATTTGATGTTTACATTTATTCTTATCCTGAAAAGAGGCAAAGGTTGCTACTGTATAATAGCTTAAATCTACAAGTTTTACATGGTAATTGTTGCTTATTATCTCGTATTTTGGTATTGATTGCACAATTTTATTTTTTTTATTCAAAAGAGCTGAAACTAAGAGAACAAGAACTTATAATTCATTTTTTAAAAATAAATATTCCCTTTTTTTTGGTAACTGCTGTCCATGTCTAATTCTACACTTGTCTAGGAGTATGGGCGTCTCACCTGTCTTGCTATTTCTGGGGAGGTCGGGTCTAATGCTAGATCTGACTAATACATGTCTGGCTTATGCTTCACACTTCATGTTGCTACCGTGATCCACATAATTCCTGAGGCCCACCTTGCCACATCTTTAGCACACATACACACTGATCATCATGTGCAGCAAGATAGGTACCAGCATACCACATGGATGAGTATTGAGACTGAAAGTATCGGGGTTGTGGACACAGATCCTGTCACTTACTCCATTTAGTGTTACATATAACTCCTACTGGGCGGAGGCATCACTGCCTGCATACATCAGTATTTGAAATGTCCTTGAAAGTTGCTCAATAATGTTGTCATAAAACACTTGATCACATGATAATCTGAAAGTGGAATATCTCTTTTGTCTATTGGCTACCTTTTTTAACCCTTGTGCTCACTTTTATGAAATCACATTTAATCATAATACAAATGACTCAAATCAGAAACTCCTCATTTCAGCTGAGAGATGATCTGGTTTGTAGAAAATGAGGTTATCTGAGCAAGTTCACATTTTTTATTTGTGAATTCACTTTTTTTTCTGAACAAAATGACACACTGATGAAAATACTGAGATAGTATTATAGTAGAAGAACCTTCACCTTCCTAAAATTAAAAATTGCTATTTGCTGATAGTCTTGATGAGGAGCAGACAGGAAACGATAAACACATGCAAAAATACAGTTGTTCTTCACAAATACAGGAGTTCATAGTTTCTTCTCCATTGACCATGTGATGATGAATTGCTCAAACAGAAAACAGCATGTGACCACTAAAAGAGCTATGATGGAACGGATCATCATATATCTGTGAATCACGCTCAAGTTTAAGATTGACCACGTCACCTACTTCCAGTAAGACAGAGACTCCATTAGAGGAACTCACACTGCCCTTGGGTTGAATAGCATGTGTTGTGGCCATGGGAAGTCTGTTCTTATATAAGATCACTCCTACATTTCTTTCAGCGCCTCCGTGGACTGAGAATCTGAAGTGATAGACTCCTCTCACAGGTGCAGTGAAAAACCCTGTACGGATGTAAAAATAGGCACAATTTTAAATGTATACTCGGAATTATATTTACATGTATAAACAAATGAGTGTGTATGGACAGTCTACCTGTAGTTGGGTTGTAAGCATTGCCGATGTTGGTGAAGACGTGTTTGTAGACCAGGGGAAATTCAGTGTTGTATGGTCCAGTATGACCAGTCTCACCGTCTGAGAGTGAAGCCGAAAACGCCACTTTGGTGTCTTCAGTAAACAGAATAATATATATTGTTGCTCAAATCAAGAAAGAACATTAAGGTGACACTATAGTCACCCAAAAGGTCCTTTTTAAATAAAATGATCAATAAACAGACTCTCAGTAACATATCAACAATATATCAGTGATGTAGCAGCAGTGAATACATTCAATACATTATCAAGAGACTTTAAATTAACTGTGTAAATAAAATTTGTTTATAGTCTCAGATAGTATAGTATAATATAGGGTTAGGGTTTGGGTAAGGTTTGGGGTAAGGTTAGATATTGGGTAAGGTTGGGTTTTAGGTAAGGTTAAGTAAGGTAAGGTTTGGTTTAAGGTTGGGTTTTGGGTAAGGTTGGGTTTTGGGCAACGTTGTGTAAGGTTGGGTCTTGAGTAAGGTTGGATAAGGTAAGGTTTGGGGTAAGGTTAGATTTGGGTAAGGTTGTGTAAGGTTGGGTTTTGGGTAAGGTTGTGTAAGGTTGGGTTTTGGGTAAGATTGGGTTTTGGGAAAGGTTGGGTTTTGGGAAAGGTTTTGTAAGGTTGGGTTTTGGATAAGGTTGGGTTTTGGGTAAGGTTTGGTTTTGGGTAAGGTTGGGTCAGGTTAGGTCCCAAGACCTACTCTCTATGCCAAACAGCAAGTTTCCCAGCAGTAGAGCTTTTGCTCCTTAGTCGATCCTGTTATCCAGGGGTATCGTGGGGTACTTGCTGGAGTTGAAATGCTTCTCAAAAGCCTTCTTTGCACCAAATTATGCTCTGGTATAGGTAATCGTTTGCCGATTAACTCCAACTTTTCTGTTTAATCTATAAAACAGTATGGATAAATTTGTAACAATGTCCTCCTCACTAGCAGTAACGCTACTCTTGGCTTCCATCATGAGCCAACAAGCTAGCAGGCTCTTTTCGCTAACTTCGTGTCCCCACAGCAGGCGGAACTTGTCATAAAGTTAACAATAACAAAGTCCACCCTTTAGTGGAAAGATATGATTACTATTGCTTGGCCCTCTGTAAATGTATAGCTGGACCACCAGTCACCAACAGTCTTTCCAGCAACAGCAGAGGCAACAAAATCAAACAAAGGCTTCTTTAATTTATCTTTTCATTCTAAAACAAATTGAATGGGCTGGTTTGAATTTTAAAGTATTATTTTTAGAATATCTTAGGTCCTCTCTGAGGGGGTAGAGGGCCATAATGATTCCCCTCTGGTTTCGGGTAAAGATTTAGGAAAGGCTGGGTTTTGGGTAAGGTTGGGTTTTGCTATTGAAATAGTATATTAAGTCTACTTCATGTAACATATTAACAATACATCTACTTAGTCTAAGTAATGTATCAACAGAAGATCTTCAACATATTTCGCTCAATGTATTTAGATGCTGCATCACTGCTACTTCACTGATATGTTGATGATGTGTTACTGATAATCTGTTAAGAGTTTAATAATCATCTACAAAGGACCACTCAAAATAAAGTGTTACTAACATTAGAGACATGTGCTTTTTTAAAGGAGAATGTTCAAAGCTGTGAGAGGGAGAAAATGACCAGAAAAAAGACGTCAGAGCTTATGAATGAGGTCTGATAGAAGGTGCCAGACTGGCTGGTAACAGTGAGTTGACTGCAGTGCTGAGTCTTTACAGTTTATAGTGTTCTGTTTGAATCCAAAATTGCCCACCAACAAAAAAAAAACTTCCAGCCAACAGTAAATGTGAGCCAGCCATTGGTGCAGTCGTGTGAATATGAATACATATGCAACATACAGGCCTTTTTTACAAGTTGCATGACTTGTAAAGAGGAGTCTTTTTGTATACTCCATTATATTTTTTATTCCAAGACTCCTCATAGGTCAGGGAGTTTCCATATCATAATGTGATTGGTCAGTTTCATGATCAGTGAATCATTTTGATTGTTCATTTTGTCTGTTTCTATGTATACCACAACAGGACACCACAGTGTTTGAGTCTCTTGCAGTCAGTCACAGACCTGCTGATATGACTTGAGGTAAACATACACATTTCATTTGAAAACTTCTGTGAATGTTGATCATGAAAAATATTAGAGTGATGTGCTAATCTAGCGTACTAGTAGCACAACACATTAACTCACCTTGGATAAGGTTTGCTAACATCAGCTGTGAGAAACTGGACGCGTTGCAGAAGCTAAGTAGGCTATTAGCAATTTTGTTAAAGACACAATTGTTGTTCTGTTGCTTCACAATAAGGCCAAAATACTCAGAAACGTTTATAAAGAAGAGGGCTGTCACTGATATCAGGACTGAAAAAGAGTGTGTTAAAAATGGAATTCTCAGGTATAACCATTTATTTTGCAATATTTTATGCTAAGTTTATAAAGAGGCTCATACAGAAATATGTTCAAGAAGTGTGTAAGGTTTCATACACTTAATATACTTAAAAGTTAGATCAAACATGTTAATTTTGGTTGATTGTTGAATAATAATGATTTAGGATGTCTAATGTTCTGTGAAAGATGGGTGTTTTTTACCTTGATTCTCGTTTTTAAGGTTCTCCACTATGCATTTATAAGCTGAAGACATATTTCACTGGCTCATTTTTGTCTGTTTCTATGCAATACCACCATATTCCAGTCTCTTTCAGTCAGTTACAGACATACAGAAATGATTTGAGGTAGAAATAAGCCCAAAATAAGGCCAAAAATAGGTAAAATGTTTACAAACAGGAGGCCTGTCACTGATCATGTATATATAGTATATATAGCGTGTTTTCCACACTTGCCCCAGTGAACTGGTACTGTTAGATAGGCAGAAAAGAGGCACAAACAGAAAATGTTCAAGAGGTGTATAATATTTTGTACCCTAGATGTGAAGTTAGTGTAAAAATGTGCATTTCGTACCTTGATACTCCTGTTTTAGGTTCTCCACTTGCTTGTCGAATGAGGTTTTCAAGTTCTTCAGTTCCTCTGAGTAGCAAAAATACAGCATATGTCTCAGAGAATGAATATTTCTTATGAGAAATCATTCCAAATGCCACAGTTTCAAAAATCACATTGCATGGAGATGACTACATGGTTAATGCTGAGCTTGTATATGAGAATCAGGGGGTTGGTGAGCTTGGTGAAAATATTTTTTCTTCTTTTCCGTCCACTTTAATGCATCTCTCTACTGCAAATTCAGTTTTTAACCCCACAGTAGCATTCATCTAATCTGTTTATGACCAAATCGATTCCTCCAATTCAGCCCCCCTTCTTTCATCTATGGCACTTTGAATCACAATTAAATCTAGTCAATATATCTAATGTCCCATTTTCAGATGGTTGCGCACTGATTCTAAGATTGTCTAGCTTATTTCTAGTAATGTTGTATTTGTTGTAGGTAATTTTATTAAGTAAATATTTTTCACTATACTGGCAGATAATTTTGCTGGTTTCAAGCTCATTTCTTACAGCAAGCAAAATTATTTGCCAATACAGTGAGATAATTTTACTTAAAAATTTTACTTTAAAATGACCTAAAACAAGTAAAAATGATTAATGAAGTTAAATAATCTTGAATTAGGCTTACAACAATCTCAACTGGAGAAATAATGGATTTTTTGCCTAGAATTAAGACAATTTTACTTCACAAGATCACATTTTTGCAGTGTTGAGTTAAACTTGAGTTGAAGTTTATTGAACATTGTTATTTCAAACCAGTCTCTAACTAAGACACAAACATGTTCAGTGACTTACCTTCATTTTTCTGACTCTGCTCCTCCAGCTTCTTCCTCAGTTCCTCCATTTGACTCTCACTGGCTCTCAGTCTGCTCTCCATGTTGTGTCTCTGCTCAACTTTCAGCTCTGCCAGCATAGCGCTCATCTCTCTCAGTACAGAATGGAGGTCCGGCTGGCAGCTTTGTTGGGTGGAGGTTGTGGCTGGAGGTTCAGTTCTGGGATTCCCAGCTTGAATGTCGTTCATGATGATTAATCAGAGTAATCAGATTCACACTGACTGCAGCTCAGAAACAGCAGCAGAGAACCTGCACGATCCTTAACACGCCTCCTTTGTCTTCTTGTGTTTATGTGGCAGTCTCATATATACAGTGCACTCTGGTTAGTTATTAACTGAAACTTATATGTGCTCTGTAATTGCTCGTGATAAGTATTATTTCACGTAGCCGGTGAAAACACTATAAACCTCATTTTGAGTGACTTATCTGTTTTTCTGGCAGAGGCAGCAGAAAAAAGCATTTAATGACGTTCACTGAATCGACTACATTACTGACTTTAGACTAAAATCCTTTTGCTCTGAGTGACCCTATAATTTAACTTTGTTTATTTTATTAAAACTAATGATTGAACATCCCATTTTGCTACCACCAAAACAATCATAACATTAAACTTTACCTTTTCAGTAGTGACTGTTTTGGTAGTGACAACTGTAGCTCATTTTGAGCAGAACCCAAAAACGCAGCCAGTGCGTGGCTAACTAACACAGCTCTGAACAGCTGTTCACACATCATCATATTTTTCATTAAAACACTAAAAAGTACTGAACTGCAGAAAATATGACAATTCTTAGTGTTCCAAACTGATTTTCAGAGGGATTCAACCACACTTCCTGCTCTAAAATGCAAAGGCATGGCTAAAATAAGGTTCTGCCTACGGACTAAAACTCTGTGTACATGAAAACTCTGGCCTTTTTTTTATGTTTTTATGAAAGATAATAAAATCTTTCATCTTCACTTTAACATAAGCTTTTTTTAATATGTTTTTGATTTAAGTATTATTTTCAGAAGCCTAAATTTAGAAAAATAGAAAAATAGAAAGTACCCTATAAATGACTGTGTATATATTTAGCTTATTACTATCTCTATTCATGCCCTGAGTTTATATAGATTACAGTGAAACTGATACTTTACCATTGTGGGAATCTCAGTGTCAAGGGAAGCACTTTGGCAAGTAGATTTAAAAATAAGCTCAATTAAATTTTCATATTCACTTTATGAATGTGTGATATAGTTGTTTTTTAGTAGAACTGAGGTGCCACATCAACATGAGCTAACTTTGATCACATGATGATCTGAAAGTGGAATATCTAGTTAAAATTTATCTTTTCATGAGTCAGTTCACATTTCACGGTGACATGAACTGCTTGCTGGACAATAAATCCCTCCCTTAAGTCCAGAGACTATGTGATTTGTGAAAGGGGATCAATCACCCTGCCAGATAGTTGTCCAGCCCTCTAAATAAACATATAGAACAATAATCAAGCCATTTTTGCGGTACAGTTTTGGAGATACTGAACTGCTTTTTTCCTAAAGCTAAAATGCTTAATTTCTACATCTCCTTTCTGCTTTTTCAGTTGCTGTTAATTTGGAGATTTGGGAGAGTTCACGGTAGACTGATGGACTTTTGGGCCTCTTACTGTGAGCTAATCTATAAACTCATGCATATAAGCACAAGAACACTCAGAGAAACTGTAGTAGTTTTGGAAATATACCAGCGTCTCCCACCTCAAGTGGTACCCTGGCCCTGGTTTACTGATTGTAACTGACTGACAGTGGATAGAGATTAGATGAGGCTCAAGTAATTTCCCATTGTGTCTTAAATGATGTAGCAGTTACATGTAGACCTGAACACCTGTACAGGAGCTAGCATGTAACTGCTGCACTACTTAAGGTGGGAACGTAAATTCAAACGACGACATGAGAAATTAGCATATCAATGTCAGTGTGATGGTGTGAATCTGTTGCTGGCTGACACAGCAGGCAGCTCTACAGAGTTTATTACCTTTTTACAATACCAACGCAGCAGATTTTACACATGAATCACATGAGGATGGACAATAGCAGCAAGAACTGCAAAAAAACAAGGTGTCAGCGAGAAGACAAATAAAAAAAGCTATTTACAGGGGATGAGGACATATCTGAGCAGGTGGGCAGTGAGAAACGCTGACCTGAACTTAATTAGATGGCATTAGTTTGTGGCATTTTATCACTATCTAGTCACCTCGGTTATCCCAGTAAATTAATAAAAGTAAGAAATGGAGAATTGTAGAAAATATATTTTATAAAATGAACGAAGGCAAAGCTATGTGTGCATGTGTGTGTAGAGTTTGGGATGGGCTGGTCAGCGTCATGTAATTCCCAGGCTGAAACACGTCCCACTCCAGCCCTGGATGAGGCGTGGCTGTGTTTTTACTGCACTGACATGGACACGCCCCACCAACCCAAGACAGCACACTGCTGGATCTTCATCCTTTGCAAGTCACTAATTTAGTGCTGCTGATTCAGTAAAGTGATACGTTTTCTGTCACTGGCTGCTCCTGACCGATATGAAAGTCCAATCATTTCAAGGGGCTAATAATTCTGATAGCTGATAATATTGTCTAGATTTTTTTATTCAGTTTCTGCATGTAGCTGTACAGCACAACTGCAGCAGAGAAAGTGCCAGTCAAACTAGATCAGAGGAGAAAACTGCACCGTCATCATAAGAGAGAGAACCTCACTGCTTTTTCATACACTACATTTCATTTTTTATAGTGTTAACTTAGACATGTAGCTAAAGCATTGAATGTTTGCTGTAGTTGAAGCATTTTAGTTAGCAAACAGGCTAACATAAAGTCATATATATCGCTGCTGTCGGAACAAAACCTCATATCTCCAATTTTCATTTTCTGGCGTAATTTGAAAATACCTGTTTGCCTTTATTTTGTGTGCAAATTTCATGATCAATGGACCAAAACAAAAAGCCCAAAATGACTCAGAAATACGTCTGGTTCCACTGACTTACATTAAAAGTAAAGTAGGTTTTTTGCTTCTCCTATAAAGTTACTATTTTGGAGATATGAGGTTTTGTTCCGACAGCAGCGATATGCATTAAATATTCTTTTCCTGTGACTCTTTACAGCAATGTTAACTGCCTTAATGAGTATCCGCACGAGCTACAGTTTACCGGAAATATTAATGTTTTGCTCATAAACTACACATGAAAGGAGTTCAAGTGTATGAAAGCCAGCTAGCTACGTTGGCTAATGTTAAGTAACAGTGGTTACTGTTAGCCTCACTTAAAAATAAATATAAAATATTTCTTGTTAAAGGAGTAGAATGCCTTGTAAAAACATAGCTAAAATGAGAAAATAAGGAAACATTAAATTGTAATGAATATGTTTATCTTTCATTTTTAATAGTAGAGATTTTATAACGTGTGTTCTGTTTTTATTGCGCCACTGAGGCAGGGCCAGCTCCAGCCTCTACGCAGGATTTTGTATGGGCCCCTATCTTTCTAGCTGATGTACATTGTTGATAACACTCAACTACAGTCTGGAAAGGCCTCCAAAAAGATCACTAAATAGGTCATTCTACAGAAACGTCCATTTTTGTGTCCCTAGCAGTTATAGATATTTTTACAGATTAATATCTGAAGATCTATGAAGAAAAGCACATGGTGAGTCCACTGTGTCTTTTCAGTTATCAGAGATTTTCTCACTTAGCTCCTGATTTCATATGAAGCTTTTGGCTGAAGTCACTGGTGTGACCGACTTTATTCTTAGGTAATTGTGAAAAAATTTAATTACATAGTCACACATTTTATCTGTTAGATAGTTTACCAATATATCTGTGTTTTTTTTTATCCTTTTTTAAAAAATATTTTAAAAACCATAGTATAGGCCACTAGTGAATATATTACAGTTAAAAATATTACTTTGAACTGATTTAAAGAATTGATTTATGTAAAAAACTAAAACTAAAAACACTCCCCTTTGCATATTTTCCATAATGTACAATTGTACCCCAAATTGTAGAATGACTCAGTGACAATGAAATACATACATACATAATCTAAACCGCTTATCCTTCTGGGTCGCGGTGGGGTGCTGGAGCCTATCCCAGCTGTCATTGGGCGGAAGGCAGGATTCACCCTGGACAGGTCGCCAGTCCACAGGCAGACATACATACACATTCACACACTCACACCTAGGGGCAATTCAGCATTTCCAATTGGCCTGACTGCATGTTTTTGGACGATGGGAGGAAACCGGAGTACCTGGAGGAAACCCACGCAGACACGGGGAGAACAGGCAAACTCCGCACAGAAATACCCCTGGTCGCCCAGCCGGGAATCGAACCCAGGCCCTTTTTGCTGTGAGGCGACAGCGCTACCCACTGCGCCACCGTGCCACTCATGACAATTAAGTAGTTAAGTAGTATACACTTAAGCAGCAGATTCCCTGAAGGTCATTGGTTCATTTTGTTCTTTGTTCCTTAGATTGATACATGTTACATCATGCAATTACAGGTAAATGGAAAGATCTAGTCAAAGTAAAGTTTAATTTCAGTTACAAGGCAGTAATTATATTGTATTTCCAAGCATATAAAAAGATCTAATTTTAGTTCATATAAATGAGTGAAAGGTAAACAAGGACATTTTCAAATAATTACTCAATAAATCTCATCAACCATCAATTTAACAAGAACAAAAGCTAAATGTTAAACTGTCCTAACTAGAACAGCAGAGTGGAGCTGGTTTGATTCCTGCTAAGTGCTTCAGTGACGCTAGTTTGAAGGATAAAGACCCAAATCTGCGTGAGTGAAGCACATCCCACAGATGCGCCATCAGAATGAGACCTGGTGAATTTGGAGACCATGGCAACACCCTGAACTCTTCATCATGTTCCTTAACCCGTTCCTGAAGTGTGCAGTGTGGCAGGGAGCACTATTGTGCTGTAAGAGGCCATCAGGAATACCATCACCATGAAGGGGTGTGCCTGGTCCACAACAATGTTTGGGGAGGTGGTACTTTCAAACTGACGTCCAGCAGAATATCACCCAGTGCATCGCACTCCCTCCACCAGCTCCACCAGTGCGTCCTGGTGCGTCATCATTTATGCCGCACCTGCACCCCCGGCTGACCACATCATGTAAAAGAATATAGGACTCATCTGACCAGGCGAGCTTTTTCCATTGCTACAAAGTACGGTTCTGATGCTCCCATGGCCACTGTAGGTGCTTTTGATGGTGGACAGGGGTCAGCATGAGCACTCTGACTGCTGCTACACTGCCCCATACACAGCAGAGTACAATGCATTGTGTGTTGTGACACATTCCTTCCATAACCATCATTAAAAATGTGGCCTTAACAATTTGGACCTTGTCAAAGCCGCTCAGGTCTTCATACTTTCCCATTTCTCTCACATCCAGCAGAATGACCATATATATGACGTATATGAACATTCCACCTGTATTCAGGTCTACATCAAACAGCTGAACCAGTCCAGCAAAACCTGCGGGTCTTGGTCTGCTGAATCCTGTTGAACGCATTTTATGATCAAATGAGGGAATTCATCAATAGAGCTGGCTTTCCTCTTCTTCCAGCACCACGTTAGCGCTGTATACTGTCAGTTCAATCTGCCTGTTTTAACGTCGGACTCTTCACAGACTCTCATTGCACTTATATCATTCCTGCAGCTCGAGCTGCAGCCGATAAAAATGACAGACGAGCCTGAAAATAATATCTGCGTTTGATTTTTGGTCATCAGCGACCTGAGAAGTCAAACTCAAACTAATAAACCTATGACAAAGAAGCAGATATTAAGTAAGTTTATCATTATTGTTGGCTGTGATGATGCTAATCCAAAAGCCCACTGAGTGGTGTGAGGTTTATCTCAAATGAGGTGCAAAAAACCTTCAAAACTAAAGAGACATCTCATGACCAAATGTCTACTCCTGTGGGGAAAAAAAAAACAATTAAAAAAGGTTGATTTTAGTTCTTCTGTGGACTGCTATGCTTTTCTAAACAGGCGGGACTTGGAGTGGAAAAGGTTGAGAACCCTGATCTATACAAAGTGTGTTGAGTGTTTCACACAGCCATAATAAAAGAAAACTTTCCGTACATTTTATTATAAAAAAAATGGATATGAAACCAGTCTTATCTTGGAAATTGAAAATTTCAATAAGTTGAAATTGAAATACTTGCTGTTATAGGTGTTTTCAGTATTCTGAACCTTGTGGCCGCTGTTTGTTCAGTGAAAGTTAGTTTAGTCTTAGTTTAGTCATACCTAGAAGATCATAGTACACTGCTCAAAATAAGTTAAGTGACCCTTATTAGTCCCACAACAGGAAACTTTCACCTCCACATTTTAACCCATCCATGCAGTGAAACACCACATACACACTACTGAATATATATATATGTATATACATACATACATACACACAAACACACACATACACACACACACACACACACACACACATCAGGCATAACATTATGACCACCTTGTTTCTATGCTCATTGTCCATTTTATCAGCTCCACTTACTATATAGGTGCACTTTGTAGTTCTACAGTTACAGACTGTAGTCCATCTGTTTCTCTGCATACTTTGTTAGCCCCCTTTTACCCTGTTCTTCAGTGGTCAGGACCCCCATGGACCCTCACAGGTGGCTCAGACACAGCAGTGCTGCTGGAGTTTTTAAACACCTCAGTGTTGCTGCTGGACTGAGAATAGTCCACCAACTAAAAGTATCCAGTGAACAGCGTCCTGTGGGCAGCATCCTGTGACCACTGATGAAGGACTAGAGGATGACCAACACAAACTGTGCAGCAGCAGATGAGCTATCGTCTCTGACTTTACATCTACAAGGTGGACTGACAAGGTAGCATTGTCTAATAGAGTGGACAGTGAGTGGACACAGTGTTTAAAAACTCCAGCAGCACTGCTGTGTCTGATCCACTCATACCAGCGCAACACAAACACACCACCACCACGTCAGTGTTACTGCAGTGCTGAGAATTATATATACATATACATACATGTATGTATATGAATATATATTGCTGCCAGTCACTGAAAATGATAGTGAAGAGTAGATGGAGAAAATCAGGAAAATGAACAATAATGCATAAGTGCTGTTTCATTTACATAGCAATTTGTTTTCGTCAGTTTTGTTCCACGAACGATTTGATGTTGAAAAGCTCAAACAGAGAAAAGCATATGACCACTAAATGTGCTATGGTGAACCCCACTATCATATACCCACGAATTAGCTCTGAGCTTAAGAGAGACGACATCTCCTGCCTGCAGTAACAGTGTGACCCCATTAGAGGAACTCACACTGTGTTGATCTTGATAAGCATGTGTTCCAGCCATGTAATGTCCATTCATATGTAAGTCCACTGCTACCAATCTTCCACTCCCTCCATGGATGTGGAATCTGAACTGATAGACTCCTCTCACGGGTGCAGTGAAAAATCCTAAGTGAATGTGAAAATATGCAGATTTTTAGTGTAGTGAATGGTTTCTCATAATCAAACAATTCATAAAAATGATTAAATTAAAATCATAATCTTACATGATTGGTGGGACACAAAACGTTTTCAGCAACAGGAGAAACAGGCAAAAATCCAAGCAAAATACTGTGAGAAGCTTGTGGAAGGCTTCCCCAAGTGTTTGATTCAAGTTATAAAATTAAAAGGCAATGACACCAAATACTAACAAAGTGTTTGTAAACTATTGACCCACTGAAAAGCTGATATTTTAAACAAAAACAAAAATAAACCTCTTTCTTGGCTATTATTTTGAAGTCACCTCTTATCTTAAACAAACGGTAAAATGTGTAGAGTTGTAAAAATGAGTTTTAAATGTTTTTAGCCAAGGTGTATGTAAACATTTGGCCTCCACTGTGTATTTCATGTACAGAAAATTTTGTTAAAATGAAGCCTTATTAGCATGTTTAAATGTGTATCATGAAGAGTCAGTAAGATGCTCTTTGGTAACAGGTTTGGATTTCTCAATATTATATCCCAACTTTGTAACTTATTATGGAAGTTAATATTAAGAGATTTTTTCCAAGAAATTTTAGACCATTTACATTGGCCCATTTCATCATGAAATGTTAACCTGATGCAAAGGGTATATAATGTACAAACAGTGATGCAATGTTACAGTTTATAAAAAGCCTACCTGTAACTGGGTTGTAAGCACTGCCGATGTTGGTGAAGACATGTTTGTAGACTAGAGGAAAGTCAGTGCTGTATGGTCCAGTATGACCATATCCACTTGCCAAGAGTCCAGCTGAAAACGCCACTTTTCTCTCTTCAGTACACAGAGGAAATTATATTGTTGGTTACATCAAGTAAAAAATGACATTTAATTTTAGACAATGCATCTCCAGAAACATTTCAGTGGGTCCAAACATCTTTCACGTTTCATAATTACATAACATACATAACGAATAAGACTTAAACTGTAAAAATGAAATCTGTCAACAGTTTTGTCAACTATATTTTCATGTTGTCACAAAATAAAAGTGAATGTAGAAAATGTTAGTAAAGGCTGCTTTTTAAATTCACTTAAAAATGTGCAGGTGCAGAAAAGAAGAATATTAAAGAAGGAAGTTCAAGATTCGAGACATCTGAGATGTATATCTGTGATGGAGAATGGGCAAGAAAAAAAAAGACATCAAAGCTTTTGAATGGAATCTGATTTGAAGGTCATAGATAAACAAGCTGGTAACAGGACATTGACGGCAATGCTGAATATGTCCAGTTTAATAGTGTTCTTTGAGTCTCTGAAATGGTTCACCACCAAATGTTTAAAAATGGCCCAGTAATAAAACGTTCAAAAGCTGAAAGAAGTCTGACATGAATTGTTCAGCCAGTGACTCAAGGTCAACCAACAGTCTAGTGCAGGACTAGACCAGCCAAACAAGGACATACTGTGTCAGTGATGCAAAGCACCACCCTTATGAAACAGCACTAAGCTACTTGAGTGCTAAAGTGCCTCCTTGTGGGGAATCTTCAGCCTGCTAAACATGAGTGAGTGAGTATATATCGACACATTATTTGTTGCTTCAGAGGTTTCCTTGTGAACTTTGCAGTAAATGCCAAAAAACTGTGGATCGATTTAATGTTTAAATATATTCAATGGAAAGAACTGCCACAACCTTTCACTGTACACTCTCAGAAAAAAAGGTCATGAACTGTCACTGGGGCAGTGCCCCTCTTGTCACTGGGGTGGAACCCTCAAGGCTCCATCTCAGTACCTTTAGTCAGGGAACATAACTGAACCATAATCCACTGAAATGATATGTTCTAAGCTGTACTGACTCCACACACCCCGTCTCGTCTCCAGGACTTTATTTTACTGTTCTGTTTTAAAACATTCGGTTATGAAAAGGTACAAATACGAACTTTTCACCTGGAAAAACGTATTTAAGGTTCACAATCAGACCTTAAAACCACTGTTGTACCTTTAAGTGAACATTTACACTGTTTGTACCGTTATGAGCAAGAAATGTACCTGCACAGCACCTTCATTTCTAACAGTGTAAAAAACTCACCAATTTCAGAGATTTGTTGAAGTTGGTTGTCCTAATAAAAAAAGTAGTGAAGTGCTAATTGGTGGGAGAAGCTACCAGTAGTTATGGAGTTACAGTAAACACCCTAGAGCTGAACCAAAAACACCTAAGAGTCTAACTAAAATTAGAGTTACATTTGAATCCCAGAGTCTTTCTAAAGGCCATCTGCACAGTATGATGCTATGTTCTAAAGTGGTTTCAGACATGATTTCTCAAACAGAACAAATTCATCTTAAGGCTGTGATCAGATGGTGGAGCGTGTTCCGGAAAATCTGCATCTGAATCCACCTGTGATAAGTTTTGCAATGAGAACAAGTGGAGCAGATCTTTATAGTGTTATTGGTGGGAAGCTCAACACCACATCAGAGACGACAGTAGTAAAGAGATGATAGACTAAAAAAATTCAATTCTTGCACTCGTTTAGGAGCAGAAAGAGAAAAAAACCTTCAGCTTAAATTCTTCCTGGTCATCCCATAGCAATCTCATAGTTCTACAGTCCAGTATACTGCTTATCCAGCTACAGTGGTGAAGGGTACTCATCTATTTTCAAAGCTTTTTTTTAGCAAACCTTGATGATAACAGTCTACAGAATGGTATATGCACCATCTTGAAACTGAATCCTTTTTTTAATCACAACCGCGAGCAAACCTCTTCTACCATACAGCCACGTGTTTCTCACAGGCTCAGTTTTACTCTTTTTTGATTGGCTACCTCATTAAAAGTGACCAATGAGGGGAGCTTTTTGGCTGAATTTGAACATTTTCAATTCAGTTCCTGAGGATCCATGGTGGAAACAAATGTGTTTCGCAGGGGGACAAGAGCCCACGATATCCATGTCCTGCAGTTGGATCTAATGGCATTTTGGGCAGAACAAGCTCTGCTGTCTGAATGCAGCGACCTGACTAATCACCAGATCGCAATTGAACAGATGATCTGTGAAATTGTTTAGAATGAAGATCTATTCCCACATTGCAAAAAATGACATCTTAATGAAAATATCTTAAATGTAGTCAATATATCTAATATTTCTCATTGTAAGAAAATTCTAAGATTATTTAACTTATTACTAGACTTTTTTTTACTTGTTTTAAGTAGTTTTATACAATGAAACTGTCTTATTCCATTGGCAGATCATTTTAAGCATGATTTCTTAAAATAAGCAAAATTGTCAATTATTTCTCGAAACAAGTAAAATGTTTTGCCAATGGAATCAAACACTTTGACTAGATAAAATTACTTAAAACAAATAAATGTCTAGAAACAGGAGGAGTCATCTTATAACATTATTAAAACAGTCTCATAATGAGAAACATTAGCTATATTAACTACATTTAAGATGTCTTCACTTGCTGAGATATCATTTTTTGCAGTTCAGCCAACTCGGCACAGCTGTAGGAGGCACCACAGTCAGCCAAGCTAGCAGAACTGTGGAATATTTCTGTCTCAATTAGCTGTTTTGTGGGCTGTAGTGGCACAACACCATAAGAGAAAGATGTTCAAGTGTACAATATTTTGTAAATTGTAAGCTGAATGTAGAGTTAGATTATACACAATGATTATGAATTAGTGTAAAAACTCAGAAAGAAGCAATTAAATCTTTATTCCATTCTTTTTATGTCTGAATAAAAACAGAAACACAAAATCACATTTTCTCTTTGTAATTTGCTCAGATTTTTTCTGTAAAGTCAAAATTTCTTACCTTTATTTTCCTTTCTCAGGTTCTCCACTTGGTTGTTGAATGAGATTTTCATATCTTTCAGTGAGAAAGTTTCACAGAAGCTGTTAGTCATTGCAATTTCAAGTTAATACACATTTGTTTTCAGAAAGCTAAATTTCACATCCTGCTATTCCAAGGAACAAACACACTGTTTGAGATGACTGGTTAATGTTTGGTCTTTCCTGAGAATTACTAGAACTTGGTGAATATTGATTATTTTTTCGTCTTGCACAAAGTCACATTCTTGTATCTATTTTCATTAATCTTGCAATCAGAACTTCAAAAGGTAACATAAGAGAATATTCCTCTAATCGATTTATAATCAAATCAATTACAGCTGCTTACCATCATTTTTCATTTTCAGTTCCTCCAGTTCAGACCCAAATCTTGCCTCCATGACACTCTGATTCACTGCTTGAGCTACAAATGAAGGATTAAAGTGTATTGAACAAAAACAAAGAGATTATTTTTTAAAGTAAACATTGCAGGAAGCACTATAGTCAGCATCAGTCAGATTAACAGTGGGATACTTTTAACACCATGTTGAGTTCATGCACCAATGAAGTGATGTTCTCTGAGAAAAGGGGGCACAATATGAGGAAGATGTGTACAACGCTTCACACACTGAATGAAATAATAAACATTATAAATGTTACAAAATATGAGTTTCTCTTTAAGTTTCTCAAATATTCTGTGAAAGAATTCTCACCTTGATTTTCCATTTTCAGGACGTCCACTTGGTTGTCAAGTGAGGTTTTCAAGTGTTTCAGTTCCTCTGAGCAACAAAGAATACAGCATATCTGTTATGGTTATTAATGTCTCATGTGAATGTGCATGTGTTTTCATAGAACCTCATTCCAAATTTCACAATTAATGTCTTTAATTAATTATCAGGGGATTATAGAATAGCCGAATGTGGAGAAGAAAAATGCACACCAATGAGTTTAGACTAAGGCTGTTAGATCAATTCATGTAAATGATAGATATGTTCATATAAACAGCATGGCTTGATTGTTGTGGTCTAACTGATCTCCAGCCATAATTGGCCAGAGTATTCGGCCGGACTACTGTACAAACTTAGACAGCTCCACTGATTGAGTTTTTGTGTCATTTTGCGGCATTTCCTGCAAGACTACATGTGATGCAGCTTTGTAACACCAAAACGAACGTGACAAAAGGCAAAAGTGCTTGCCAGGTATGAATTAATGTACATTCTACATTAAACACAGACATTTGAAGCTTCTAAAACACATTTAAAGAAAAGCTTTAATACTAAAATTTCATATTTGTTTAACAAATTAAAAATAAAAAAATGGTTTAACAAAAAAAAGTGTAGAACATGAATACATCATTTTGAACAAACATAACTTTGATATGTGCAACCGTTGTAAATATTTTTTTCATGTAAATCAAATCTGAATTTCCAAGCAATCCTGCAGTAAGCAATTGCGTCACACCAATTGTCAAGCTACAAGCTGTAGATTCAGTACTGCAGCGCACACCAAGTGGGAGACATAGGCCCAGTCCCATTTCACTACTCGCCCCTACCACTTAGCCCTCTGTTTTGCGTGTTCACGTCTAAGGGTAGGGTGTCCCGATTCTTGTTGGGATAGAGGGGTAGGACGAAGTGTTGGGGCTACATGACCCTTCAAACGGAGGTTTTTCAGAGACTCCAAACAGAGAGTTATGAGGAAAAAAGAAAAACTGGCAAGATGGCTGAACAAGAGACCAAAGACACCCACAAATGTGAGAATTTTTTTCCGTTAAAAGTTAGTTTAATGTTGTTTCAATGTTTTATGGTCATTTTCTTCATAACGAGCATAAAAAAATCACTAATAGCATGCTAATGTCTTGGTAGCTAGCTAGCTAACTTTCCCGTTCCACCTTAAATAGTCCAGCAGTTCTGACACCTGAAGTGCCAGAATGTAACTGCTGCACCATTTAAGGTGGAATTCGAACAAGAAGTTGGTGAATATCTGACTTAAGCTTCGTATCACCAAAGAATTAGTGGTGGGTGATAATAAATAATTGTCCCCCTCTTTGAAGTCATATGATGCCCTAAATGTAACTAAAGCCCAGCAGTGAGGAGCTGAACTTTACCCTCCTCTGCTGTCACTGCAGACTGGCAGGGTCACCTACAGAGCAGCGCTGGTAGCTGTTAATGAAGCAATGTTTTTTTGTTTTTTTTTGGTTAATTTGAGGGTTGTCACATTTCGTAGGGCAAGATTTCAACCACTCAGTTCCAAGGGGTTAGGGTGACACTCAAAAACAAGGGGTAGGGGTAAAAAGAAGAAATGGGATTTAACGGCTAAAAAAAGAATAAAACTGTATCCTAAACAAGCACACATAGGTGTATATTATGCTCAGATTATTTTAAAATGATTGACCTTTGTATAATATATTTATACAAATTATATGTTAATATATGATAATATATGTAGGGATATTGTGTGGATGTAAACATAGCAACAGCTATTTCAAACTAATGTCTCAGGTAATACATATTCACTTTGTCTTTGTTTAAGTTATAATTTGACTAAGACAGACCTGTTTAATGACTTACCTTGAACCTTCCTCTTCAGTTCCTCCATTTGACTCTCACTGGCTCTCAGTCTGCTCTCTATGTTGTTCACTGCAGTCGTCGTGTGTCTCTGCTCAACTTTCAGCTCTGCCAGCATAGCGCTCATCTCTCTCAGTACAGAGTGGAGGTCCGGCTGGCAGCTTTGTTGGGTGGAGGTTGTGGTTGGAGGTTCAGTTCTGGGATCCTCAGCCTGAATCTGGTTCTCTCTGCCTTCATAATGACTCAGAGTGATGTCATTCTCACTGACCGACTGTCCGTCCAACAAACTGCAGCACAGCAGCACCAGCAGATAAGCAGCTCTCATCCTTAACAGGCTTCCTTTGTCTTCTTGGGATTAAGAGGCAGACGCACATATATATAGCGTACGGTGGTTAGTCATTAACTGTAATATTGTTGTGTGCTCTTTAATTTGCTCAGGAACATGTAAATCTTTAATAACTGATATGTATTATCTCATCTTGCCAGGGAAAACACCATAAATGGCACGGCAGAGGGAACTTTCCTCTGTTTTGTTGTTACACCTGACAGCTGCAGCGACAGCTTTCTTCTTTCTTTTAGCTGTGTTTACATACACCAATCAGGCATAACATTATGATCACCTCCTTGTTTCTACGCTCATTGTCCATTTTATCAGCTCCACTTACTATATAGGTGCACTTTGTAGTTCTACAGTTACAGACTGTAGTCCATCTGTTTCTCTGCATACTTTGTTAGCCCCCTTTTACCCTGTTCTTCAGTGGTCAGGACCCCCATGGACCCTCACAGAGCAGGTACTATTTGGGTGGTGGATCAATATCAGCACTGCAGGGACACTGACATGGTGGTGGTGTGTTAGTGTGTGTTGTGCTGGTACGAGTGGATCAGACACAGCAGTGCCATGGACAATGAGCGTAAAAACAAGGAGGCGCTCATAATGTTATGCCTGATTGGTGTATGTGCACCTGACAGCACTCTGTCATCGTATTGGTTAATGTCAGGAAAATACAAAAAATCTGACATACTAAATGTTTCACCGGGTTGTCATGGGGCGCCCCAGACGCCCCATCACTGTTCTTTGATTATGTTGCACTACAAGACCTGTTTATCATTCTCAATGCTCATATTTGGGCCTGACGGTGGTAATTTGTTGGCTAAGACAAAATCATGTCAGAATCGGGCTGAATTCATGTAGTCTGATCCCGGCATTAGTGGTAGCCAGAAATGAACCCAACACCATTCGCCAAACAAAATGGGCTGTAAGGTGCTTTACAGACTGGCTGTACCAAAACAACATTAATATTGATCTGGCAAAAATTGACAAAACTGAGCTAAACTTGATATTGTGGAGTTTTATGGATCAGTCAGATTTGGTCAGACTCTGAAGATCAGACTAGACGTTTGGCGAATGGTGTTTGGTTCATTTCTGGCTAATTCCAGGTTGCTTAGCTGTTCTTCTGTCACAGCTGCTGACTGAAAAGCTGCTCAGTGGTGATGACAGTTTGGGAATTTAGTTTAGTCTCATCTTCAGTGTCTGACCAAATCGGCTGTTGGTCAAATGTGATCTTAAAATATCCAACTTCTGTTGACAAAATAAGAAGTAAAAACGTTCAGATGGCTTGAGCGTCTCCTACAGCGGTCAAAGTCGTTGCTTAGCAATGGCGTCTCAGCGGAGTGTTTGTGAAAAAAAAACGCTTCTCAAGCAATCAGCTTGCATGGCCGGAACTAACTGTTGTACATTTTTCTTTGCAGCATACCATATTGTTTATCCCACACGCCAATGCTAGAAATATAGAAAACATGTCTTTTCTGTTGGGACATCCAGTCTGTCCTCCACAACACCCAGATTAACTGCATATCCTTCTTCTCTATCAGGATAGGGTTGTGAGTGCGGACCACACCTTTAATCTATGATTAAATTGAAAAGAGGATAATGCAAACTTGGGCTGCAGTGTTTGGCAGTGAGAAGGTCCTCAGTGCTGAGACTTAAGGTTAAAGATCAGGAGAGATAGAGAGGAGTTGGAAAGGTGGTGGATGTGAAAACTTTTATATAGAAAACAGAAGGAAAACATAGGAACTTAGACGGGAAAAGAAGAAGTTTCAGGCATCTTTTGTCACGTAAACCTCAGTTATTTTGGTAACACTTTATTTGGATGGTCCACTGTAGATTCTTTGTAAATGTTCATACATACATACATACATACATACATACATACATACATACATCATCTAAACCGCTTATCCTTCTGGGTCGCGGTGGGGTGCTGGAGCCTATCCCAGCTGTCATTGGGCAGAAGGCAGGATACACCCTGGACAGGTCACCAGTCCATCGCAGGGCAGACAGACAGACAGACATACACAATCACACCTAGGGGCAATTTAGCACGTCCAATCAGCCTGACTGCATGTTTTTGGACTGTGGGAGGAAACCGGAGTACCCGGAGGAAACCCACGCAGACACGGGGAGAACAGGCAAACTCCACACAGAAATGACCCTGGTTGACCGGCTGGGAATTGAACCCCGGCCATTCTTGCTGTGAGGTGACAGCGCTACCCACTGCACCACAGTGCTGCCCGCTGTAAATGTTCAGTATATATTTAAGTAACTTCAACTGAATAGTCATTAAATGCCACTGAACTTGAAGTTGAATGTTACTTAGATGTTTCACTATAGATGCTTTGTAAATGCTCAGTCAGCCTTTCAATAACATTCAACTAAACATCCATTAAATTCAAGTGAACTTGAAGTTCAGTGTGAAAGAGTTTATTAAATCTATCCCTAACCCTAAACTTAACTCTAACCTTAACCTCAAAGCAAAACCTACATCTACTCCTAACCCTAACCCTAACCATAATGTTGTTGATAATCAACTGAGGATCGCCAGAAAGTTTGTTAATCATTTAAGTAGCTGTAGAGCATCTATAGGGGACCATCCAAATAAAGTGTGACCATTATTTCTTAACTGCACTGCTTCAGCATTGGGTTTTGACCATACAGGAACTATACACATCACATTTATTAATCTACCCATTAATAATGCAGGTGTCCACAGCTCCAGTCCTAGAGGCCATAGTCTTGAACATGTTATTGTTTTCCATTGGTTCAGACAGCTGACTGAACTTAGAAGGTACCGCAAGGTCTGATAGTGAAGTCTCACTATCATAAAATGAGCAGCATTATGGCCTGTAGGAAGTTCTTCTTCATTAATGGTTAACTGGTATTTTAGTAAGAATGATATCTCAGAAACAAAGAAAACAGTTTGGCTTCTTCATCCAGGAAAGAAGCACTATAAATAAGCTCTATGATACTATCATAAACCGCTCATATTCTTTTCATAAATATGTGTGTTATCAGTGATAACTGAAGTGCAGTAAGTTCTATCAGTTACTTTTTACCTCTCGTGTGCTTCCTTATACTTCATCGTATGTCATAGTGTCACGTTTGAGGGTTCACATTTTCAAATCTCAAAATTTTATGGCGTCTGGTCACATTTCATAGTAATATGAATTACTCAAAGGTCAATAACTCCTCATTTCAGTTAGGAGATTGTCTGAATAGTTACATCAGCAACTTCACATTTTACTGAAACAAGAAGGATAAGAAAATAAACAACAACAACAATAACTCAACATCTTACTACAGTAAATGCCTGAGTAAATACCTTTACCTCTAGTATTTGCTCAGGCATTTACTGTAGTATGCTATTTCATAGCTAGTTAGCTTACCCAGCACAACCTGTGCCAACATAAAACAAATAATAGAAAATTCAATTGAGTTCGTTATTGTTTCTCTAATATGTCATTATATGGCAGACTTTAATGTACAAACTTTGTAAATATGCTTTTTCTTTGTTTGTATCTGATTGACATGCTAATTACAGCTAGCTATGAGATTGAGTCTCTATGGGATTTGCAGTGGCATGTTAGGACCAAGCTAACGATGGTGTCACTAATAAGGGCACTTTTTTTTAAACTCATTCACGGTCTTTGTTCTATGAACCGGAGACTTCGGGGAAATTTCTTCTAAAACAAATTCCAAGATTTAATAAAAATGCCATATTTAGAGGCTGTAGATAAATAAGGACGAATTGCAGGCAAATACTTTATATTGCTGTGCTCTTGTTGCTCAGCATATCAAGACAATCAAGAAATTCAACACTGCTTATTCAGAAAGCTTTCTCATTTAACAATATATTTGACAATAAAAACTCTTTTCAAAATAAATTGGTACAATTTGGTACAGAATTTCCATAACTTCTAAAATATGGTACTGTGTTAAAGCCACTGTGATAATGTAAATGCATTTTACAATTTTGTATAACAGCTTGCGTTGAATTCTGGGAAACATTTAGAGTACAACCAGATTGTACACTAGCAAACACTTCATTGTATGGCTACTATAACATTATTGTAGCAATATTGTAATAATACATCAAAGCATTGTAATACTATATCAAAGCATCAGCTTCACTGTAAAAGTAGTAGAAGGATTACTGCCTTCACTGAAATTTAATTTAGATTTTCAATTTTCCTTTATTTGAACGTTAACCGAACTAACTGTTAATTATTAACTATAATCAGTTAATGCCTGAGTAAATACTTGTAGGTGTCTGATTAGCACTGCTATAACAATGCTAATTACAGCTAGCTATGCGATTCAGTCTCTATAGGATTTGCAGTGTCGTGTTAGGACCAAGCTAACATTGGTGTACATTCACTTTCAGTCATTGTGTTTACTACCGTACAGCTGTAGCTTAAACACTGACTTCTGTTGCCTGAAACACGTGCATGTTACAGTCTTATTTTGTTTATAGCAGTTCTTAAGTGAAAGCTTTAGTACATACTTTAGCTTAAAGCTTAACTATGAATATTAAGAGGAATGTGGACAAAACAAAGGAGATGGTTATTGACTTCAGGAGGGCACAGAGTGACCACTCTCCGCTCACCATTAACAACTCCCCTGTGGAGTTCCTTGGTGTTCACCCAGTGGAGAACCTCACCTGGACCCTCAACACCAGCTTCATAACAGAGAAAGCCCAGCAGTGTTTCTATTTCCTGCAGAAGCTAAGGAAAGCTCATCTCCCACCAACCATCCTTACCACCTTCTACAGAGACACTATCGAGAGCATCCTGAGCATCTGCATTACTGCCTGGTTTGGGAACTGCACCACCTCCAACCGCAAGACCCTCCAGCAAATAGTGAGGACAGCTGAAAAGATCATTGTGGTCTCTCTCCGCTCCATCACGGATTTTCATTTCAGTTTTTTTATTATATAACTATGCATAATTCCTAAATTAGGAAAAGATTTGCTTTAAAGTGGCACCAGTTTAACACTAGAAAGT